CACCCCCTTACCTTCCACCCTCCCACCGCCCACCGCGCGTTCCTCTTGTTTTACCACCCAGTTTGTGAAACGGCTGCCAGGCCGATCGGCCAACGCTCCACAGGCCTACGTTTATTTTACCCGTTTCTAAATGCCCGGCTTTTACCCACCATTTCGAGGTCAAAATACAATAATCCTGACTTATTTCTCATTTTATCCTAATCTGTAGGTCAATTTTGTGGGTTGAAAACACGAAACAAAACTTTGACCCACAATCGAGTCAAGCAGTCCCGCGTTATTTTGCCAATATCTCGATGACCGTTGAGTCTAATGGAAAATGTGATTAGAAATTATAGTTAACTATTGAAATTTGCTGTTAAATACAATGATTTTGACTTATTTTTCATTTAATCCTAATCTGCAGGACAAATTTGTGGGTTGAAACACGAAACAAGACTTTGACCCACAATGGAGTCTCGCACGCCCGCGCTATTTTGCGAATATCTCGAGAAGAATCAGGTATAATGGAAAAAGTGACAAGAAATCATCTATAGCTCTTGAAGTTTCTCACAGAATGGTTCTTATCGAGTTTTTTTTTAAAACCTGTAGCTTTCAAGATATCGGAGGATGAATAAACCAACGGTCGAGGCTTATGTCTGTTTCACTGGTTTTTAAATGCAAGACTTTCGCAGAGTCTTGAAATCTTTATTTCCTGCCTTTCCTGGAAATAACTATAATATTCCTGATTTATTCCCGATTTCCTGATGATCCTAGAAAAAACGCGAGGCCCATAAAGACCTGAAACAAGACTTCAACCGAAAACCGATTCCCACACTCCCACGCAATTTAGCAAATATCTCGAGAACCATCAGATCCACAAAAAAAATGCCTAAAAATCTTATTTACCTCTCAAAATTTCCCACAAAAATTTCTGTATCATCACATCCCGTAAACCCCCAAGATATCGCAAGATGAATCAACCCCACACCCTCTCCCCAAAAAACACCGACTTCCCACACAATTCCTCAAATACCCCAAAAATCCTCAATTTCCGCCAAAAACTCATAGGACAACAATGATAGCCCTCAACATTTTTCACTAAAATCCTCTTATCACATTTCCCCATAAACCCACGAGATCGCGAGTTATCCGCGCTGGAATCGCCCACAGCGTCAAAAAATTGCGCAAAAAAATCAGGATTAATCAATGCCTGCATTAATTAATCCCGCGTAATAGCGTAGGAATTTATCAAACGTCAACGGACGCCAATACCCCCCACTCAAATAATTTCGATAGCTTTTGGTTTAGCCTGGCGATTAAAGTCCATGAGGACTTATTTTTAGGATTTGAAACTGAAAGGAAACTATCATAACTCGAGTGTGTGTCTGGACAGGGGGAGGAGGGGGGGTTGGATAACCCACACTCATTCAAAATACTCGTTATATACTTTATATAGTATATATGTTATATACTATATACGTTATATACGGTTCGGGTTAGAGTCGACGACACAACGATGGCGCCAGGACACATTCCTCTTTGGCGCTGGATTAACGGCAGCTAGAGAGAGAAATTGAGAGAATTAAAAAGAGATGGATAAAACGCTGAGATTCTTGGTGAGATAGAGAGACTGAGAATCGTACCGAAATAATACCGGACCATAAATACGAGGGAGAAGATACCAACGGGGGAAAAATTGATTTTTTCATTTTTCCTTTTCTTATTTTTTTTTTTGAGGGGGCATTTTTTATTTTTGAGGGACAAACGCTTGCGCAATTCACGACAACCTGTTGCTGGGCACAATCCCGACCATTCACGAGTTTTGATGGATAACTGAGCGTAAAACTACACGCGCAAAACTGGTTGATTCATGAAATTCCGCGGGATTCTGCGGGTTTTCCGAGTTTGGGGCAGATATCTTGGAAATTTCGGGGTTTACTGGGGAAATGGTATGGTAGGTTTTTGGGGAGAATTTTGAGGGGGTTGTATGAAGTTTAAACACATTTTTGGATAGGCTCGATGGTTTTGGAGATATTTGGGAAAGAATGGAGAGAGTTTTGAGGAGTTTTTAAAGTTTTCAAAACCCTGCTCTCCATTGATCTTTGACTATCTCCGGAACTGTTAGACTTACGAGAAAAAGTCATACGAGGATTCCGTAGAAAATCCAACTCCCCAAAAACAATTCCTATTCCCTTCTTCAAATAAACCCAATAATTTTCGAGTTAATCTCAAAAAAGCGAGCGCCTCCCCCAAAAATCGTCACCACACCAACCAAATCCCTCCCGTCCCTCTCAAATCCCCGGAAAACGACCCCCAACCACGCAAAATCCGAAAAGACCTCATAATTCCAAAATTTCGAGACCGAAAATTCTCCTCCCCACCACATTTTCCCTAAACCCCTTAGAAATCAATAAAAAACCAATAATTCACAAACTGAAATCGTTCGATCCCGACATTTTTCGTTAATTGACTTCCCGGGGCTCCGGAAACTAGACCCAAAATGCATTGAATGGAAAAATGAATGGCAGAACCTCTCCATCAGTCCGTAAAACGTTGAAGGAGGGAAAAGTGGACGGAGGTCGACTCGTACCCGACGACGAGACACACACGCGGCAGCTGTCTGGCGCCAGGTCTCTCTTGTGTATACGTTGCCCTCCATATTTCCTTGCCCCCTTTCCCCCTACCCCCTCAACTTCCACCTTCTTCACCCCCCGTTCTTCCCCATTCCCCCCAGGTTCCAAACTTGTCGGCTCGACGAAAATTTCGAGGGAACTGGTCACTCCTACATTTTCCACGAAAAAATTCCATTCATCTCTCCATTCCATTCTCTCACCCAAGATGAGACAATGAGACAATAAGACGATGAGACAGGGAGAGATTAAAAAAAGGGAGAAAGAGGAGAACATGATTTTCCTTTTTCTTGTGGTTTTTTTGGGGGTCTTGGGGGTGGTGATGGATTCTGTGATCGGCTGGGGTGTTCTTGGAGGTTCCTGAGGGTTCCTCGGTGTTCCTCAGGGCTCCTCAGGGTTCTCGGTGCTGTTGGGGGACTCTTCGGGTTATCGTGATTTTCTTGAGCGAAATGTGATGTCTCTGGGTGTTTGACTGTGACTCTGTGCTACGGTAGTATCGACTATCGGACGAGCACATTCAGGGACAAAAATAGAATGGGGGTACGTTTGTGCAGTGAAATGGTAGAGAGAGGATGGCCTGCGTGCGGCCAAGGTGCAACGTCGAAAATATGTTATTTTGAATTTTTTTTTTGGGTTTTTTTTTGGTGGGAATTTTTTCGAGTACCGAGAGATACGGAAAATCGAGGTGAAATCGATCCTTCAATGTTTCGAAGGAATATCTATGAAAGTACCGATTTTAGGAGAAAATTACTGAAACATGAATTTTAGATCTTCAAATTTGAGGGATAGATGGTTTTTTGAGATTTTCATGTAAAGTCAATAGTTGTGGAGATATTTGCAGATGAATAAATAGAAAATGTTGGAAGAACAACAAAAACTTTTGAATCACTCGACACTATTCCACGATTTTCTCTGAAGCTATCGATATTAGCGAAAAAAGTGACAAGAAATCGTAATTGGTCCTCGCGGTTTCGAACAAAAATGTTTAATCACATTTTGATCGAAATCCAACGGTTGCCCAGATATTAGCTGACTAATCCCAAGAAATCCCTCTGTAACAAAGGACTTCAAAACCCTCGACCCAATTTCTAGATTATCTTGAAAATCATCAGTCCAATAAAAAAATAGCCAGATAATCATAAACAGCCCTCAAAATTTCCCCCAAAAAACCTCTCATCAATTTTCCCCCTACCCCAATGCCACTCGAGATATCCGAGAACGAGTGAACACTACACCACCTGACAGACATTTGTTACCTCTTTTCACGTTACTGAATTAAAAAAAAAAGAAATCATTACCTTCACCGTCGGTGGTTAACGAGTCCGGAAGTCGCGAGGGCTCGGCGGCATTTCCACGCGCCTCCATTTGGCTAGATTGAATGGCACCTGAGGGAAAATAATGGAGAATTACCCAGAGGAATAATTGAGGAGTGAAGAGTAACAATATTTTCCCTCAAAAAAAAATCACTCAAGCATTTTATAACTCTCCCAAAAAATTAATCAACCAAAAACAGGTCCTCGATTTCCCTGAAATGGAATTTAACGCGCAATCCAAATTTTATCTCCATTATTTCAATTAATCTCTCATTTTAATTTACCAAATTTTTTTTCGAGACACAATATTTGGAGAAACTTGTGCTTAAATGCATGAGCTACCGGTACGAGTAATAATAGCCGCTGAGTGTAAGTAATCACTCGGCGGGCATTTAGGCGCCGAGTTTCCCCTAAAAGCCAGGGGGGGGGGGATAAAAAATAAATAAATAATAAAACGTATAAATTCTTACCATCTTGCTTAGCAACTCTCTCAGCTGGTATCAGACAGTACGGGGGCGGTGGCGACTCTGCAAAAACAAATAACCACCGCTCAAATAATCATCTCTCGTATCTCATCCACCTCCTCATCCCACCCCAAAAATATAATTCAGTCCACGAGGAGATTCAATAAAAATTGCGTGTCTCCTGTGGAAAATTTTCCAAAAAGAATCATTCACCAATTCAATCTTTATTAATTATCTAGATGCGCCTTGAATGTAGCGCAATTTTCGTCTAGACCTTTTTTGTAGAATGAAATTAGAGCTGCGAAAATGGCATTTATAAAATTTTTTGTATCTCTCATGGATTCGGAGATATTCCACGATAACTGGAGGTGGAAATACGTCGACTGCAAGACGTAGAGGGTAATAACTCGATTTAGATAATGCGTTAGTTTTCGAGGTATATCTCTGAATCAAAGACAGATAGCGGATTTTTTCTCGGGACTTTTTGTGTAGAGTACAATCAGAGCAACAGAAAATGTTGTACAAAAATTCCGCTATCTCTGCTCGATCCCGAGATATTCCTCGAAAACTCACTTATTACCTAAACCAAGTATTTTCAAATCGACTGATTTCCTACTTCAGTTTTCCCCGAATATCGCCACATCAAACCCAGATACCGAAATTCTCCTCAGGACCTTTTTTCCAGAGGACCCCAAAGCCGACAAAAAATTCTCCACAAAAATTTCTCCATCTCCCCCAGATTCCTAGATATTCCCTAAAATCCCCCAAACCCTCACAAACCCCCAACATCGTCTCATCCTCACGTCGCGCAACGAAATATCTCCGGATCCAAGCCAGCCAGAAAAATCTCGATAGAAACTTTTCCCCAGTTTTTCTCCCGCTCTACAAAAAACTTCCTGACGACCATTTCCCTATCTTCCCCGGATTCTGAGATATACCGGAAAAACTTGTTGAATGAATTTTTCAACGTGTTTGTACTGCTGAAAAAAATCATTAACAAAATTGAATAGTCCGGGGGAATTTTTAGGACGATGTTTGAGTGCAATGGCAAAGTGGCATCCTGACTAGCGCCGGCTGGCTGGCCTCGACAATTAGCTGGCGCCAGCAATGACACGCGGTCGCCACATCCCCCCTCCCCCTCTTCCCCTCGTTTCCTTCCCCCTCTACGTGGACAACGGCTAAACAACCGGCTCCTCGTCATTTCCTTTTTTCTGTTCCTTTTTTATCCCTTCCCCACCCCTTGCCATTATTTTTCCCCCTCACCACCCCTTCCCACTGCTTTCCGCCGATTTTTTTTCGATTTTTTTCTCTTTTTTGTCGGACTTCTGAATTTTCTTATTATGGCACTCAGGGCCGGTTCAGTCGATCTCTGATTATTAACCCTGCCCCCCCCCCTTCCCCCCACACACTCTGTACCACCCCTTCATAAGTCCCTCTTCACCCCCTGAGACCGCGACTCTAATGATTGAATTAATTTTTTTTTCTTGGACTTGCGGTTCTCTGAGAGACCGACCGAACTCTTCCAAAATTACTCCGAAGTTTTGGATAAATGAACTGAGGCCTTTAATTTATTTTTAATTTCCTCTCGAATTGATTGAGATATAATGGACCAGTGAAATTTAATAAAAATAATCGTCCTGGTGATAATTTCTAATCGAGTGGAATCGTACGAATTACCGACGCCGGTACTTCCTATTTCCATTATGATAATCCGATAATTCAATTTGAAATTCTGTTTTTATCGTATGCAGACTGTCACCGATTACCATTACACCGAGAAAAAGAATCACAATGATTTCAAAACATGTTGTTACGTAAAGTATGGCGCCTAGTGTCGTCAATCCACGATACGTTCCTGTCTGTCTGTTATCTGGATGACCACTGCCATTGCAGTTAAATAAACAATCACGAATTCGATGAACTAAAAATCGAAATCCTTCAAACAAAATCGATAAGGAAATTTAATCAACATCTCTCAGATTTATATTCTGTTTTCGCTGACTTCTCGATTTCTATCAGCAATTGCACACGACAGCTACGACAACTACATCTCATAAATCTAATCGCAATAAATAATAATCATTATTATTATTTTAGTAAGCCTGTCGCGCTTGAAAATGTGAAAATTTTCTAGATTCAGTAAAGAAGACCGGGAATTTCATTTCGATTTTTTAGAATATCTCGGAAATTACGGATTTTCCGTGAAAATGTTATGGAATGTTTTTCGTGGGGAATTTAATCCTCTATAAGAAAGCTCCTTTCCAGTTTTAACTCCCGACAAGAGTTTAGGAGCTACTGTGGATTTAATGTAGCTGACCGATGACTTGGGATTGGATAATGGCGATTTTAATTCCCGATTATCTCGATATCTTGTGGATTTAACGGTAAATGTCACTAGACCTTTTCCCTCGGAAATTAAATTCTCTACAAAAAGTTCCCTACGACTTTTCCCCTCAAATCCCCGACTCCACGAGGAATAACCCCCAACATCTACACCACCTACAACTTCTCGCAAATCTAATCCCAATAAATAATAAAAATAGCAATAACAATAAAAAAAAAATAAAAATAATCTCACCAGGTTTACAAAGCCGACTCCAGTGATAAGGATTACAGCAAACATAAGAAGAATCAACAGCGGAATGACAGACAGGTAATTTCTTAAGATCCTTCGACTGATCCAAATCAGGCCACCTCCACACCTGACAGGCCAGCAAATTAGCTGGTTCAGGCACAGTATTAACCACATTAACAATAGCCACCTCATCAACCACCTCGTCATCATCATCACCACTATTAACATGCCTGGTATCGCAGTGCCTGCACTTAGACCTCTGCCTGGTATCCGAGTGTCTGTGCCTGAGTGGATGATGATGTCTGGCACTTCTGCTGACATGCCTGTGCCTCCTGTAATGATCAGCCTGATCATCCCATCCTGAATTCAACAATCTCCTGACAAGTACACAACCACCCAGATCAGCGCCACAACTCTCAACCGAGGTTATCAGCATCTCCAGCTGATTCTCCTTGAGACCCTTGAGTAATTCCTTGCACCTGGTGAGCCTACCATCAGCTGGATCCTCCTCCTCGTCAACACCACCGCAGCAAGCCTGTTGCAGCCTATTGACAACACTCCTGTCAATATTAATGGCTCTCCTACCCCCGCATTCACTCCCTGTATCTACTCTTGCTGTTGTATCATTAAAATCACCAGATGTATCAGTTGGTACGTTAATTTTTGTCCCTTGAGTCTCACACTCGGTTTCATACTCCCGGTGGACTTTGGCCTTTAGCAGACGTCTAGTTAATACCGTACGTTTGCTCCAGAACATGAACATGAAACAGGATATGCCACAGGTGCATTTGGGTGCCAGTACTTTAGATTTTTATTCTATCAACGGAATTCTGATTTATCCGATCTTTACGGCTTCTTATCTCTTTGTCCTCTTATTTTATTTCTTTCTGCTATCTTTTTATCTTCTTTATTCTCAAAATGTCGTTTTAGGAATCGATTCGGTACCAACTACTGCTGCTGCTGCCGCTGCTGCTGTTCCTGCTGCTGCTGCTGCTGATCGTTGATGGCCTTCGTCGCGGTCTTGGTCTTATTCTTGTCAGAATTCTCTTCGTCTTCTTCGCCCTCGTCTTTATCGTCGCCACCGCATCCGCCGTCGGCGCTTTGGCACCGCATAACACTGATTTCAAACTATCACTCATTAGTTTTCGACTAGCGATTGACATAATTTTGACGGGTGCATAGTTTTATCACTTTCGGGGCTGGATTACCGCGAGACTCCAACGATTATTTATCGCCATTCACTGGGGAAGAGAAATTTTTTTTTATTCATTATTCTTTAATAATCATTATTAATGATAAACTATTGTTTTTCTATTTTGCTCTCTAATATTTTGGTTTTTCTAGTCGCAGATTTTTTTTAAAAGGGACATCTTGGAATTATCCTTAATTATTGAAAAACAATAATTGTTGATGTTATAAAATTATTTTGGGGTAATGAAAATTTATGGGAGAGGTGAGGGATTTTTTTAAAATCAATTCGAAATCCTGGGCGAAAGGACAATTGATTAATTTTTTGTGGAAATTGTTTTTCTGCTGTCGACATGGCGTTGACAACAGATTATTTATTGCAAATGTGTGCAACGAAAAAATGTCATGATTTCTCACGGCCTTTGTATTAATTTTACCGGATTCTTCCAAGATTTCTACATTTACAATTCAGTGGCGAGAAATAAATCGAATTTTCCAGTTTTGTTGATGGATCGACATCAGAAACTATTGATTTTACGAGAAATGTCAATAGACATTTTTTCTCAGAAATTCCATAAACTACAAAAAAGTCCTCCAATATTTCCATCGCAAATCGATAATTTCCCCGATAAATCGAGAATTAATAAAAATATGATCACCCCATCAGACTTTTCAATTTCTCCCCAAAAATTTCATAAACAACACCAAAAAAAAAACAGCCATCAACTCTCGATTAAAATCGATTGAAGATTTCGATCTTAAATTCCACTCGTCCTCAAACTACTCGACGAAGAGCTTGAAAAAAAGATCGAATGATTTTTAAATCGATAAATATGTCGTCATAAAATAAATATTCACAAGAATCCAATGGCATGCCAAATAATTTAAACATCACAAGAGAAATATCCATCCAACTGTCAACAACTAAATTTCCACCGACTCTCCATAAAAAATCGATCGACCGATGAAAAAAAAAATCGAGAGATCAATGGATTTTCGCAAATTCCACGATAAATCAATATCAGCATTGAAAAAAAAAATGTCTCTATATCTGTATCACAAGTGAATAATAGTTCAACTTACATATCACCCACACACTCGCGGAATTGTTTTAAATAAAATGCGATTGGGGGATTGGTTGCGATTTATCGAGGGGATTCGAGATAAAAGTAGTGACGAGAGGCCGCGGTACAAAAAGAATTTTAATTGACTTTGATCGAGAGATGAAAAGCTCAAGTTATTATCACTGATTTATTTTTTTGTCACTTGAGGGGCGGTTATGGAGGTGATGACACTGGGGGGTTATGGAAAATTGGGAAAACCACACGGAGATGATTGAACGGGGGACTTGTTTTTTTTTTTATTCGAGGGGTACGAGGAACTGTCGTACTGAAGGCACTCGGAGTTACTAGAGGAACGCACGAGGTCCAGGGACCGTCACGAGTCCACGTCTCTCCCCTCCACTGACAAGCCGACGGCGACGAGGCGCCTCGACGCTCGCAATGCGCGCGCAATTCACCGACTGGGGGACGCCCGATCATCCACGAGCGATGTCGGCGCACGCGGCAATCGTTTAAATTTGAATTTTGGAATTTGGAATTTTCATTAAATTTGTATTATTTTATTGTATTTTTATTATTTTACTATTGGGCATTTGAGGAAAATTGCGGGAATAGTGAGAGATGAAAATTTTGGAGAGTTTTTGGAGAATTTCGTGGATTCGATTTCCATTTTTGAGAATATCTCGGGAATGACGGGGTTTACGGCGATGTTGCGCATAATGTTTTTTGTGGGGAATTCGATTTTCTATGGAAAAGGTCCAATAATGCTTTTGGTTGCGACAGGGGTTTAAGAAATATCCGGGATTTTCTGGAGTTGACTAATGACTTCGGGTTGGGTAATGGTGATTTTAATTTCGCGATTATCTCGGTAATGAGTGGATTTACAGAGGAGTGTTATAAAACCTTTTTTATCGGGAATTGAATTACCCATAAAAAGTTTTGAATGATTTTCCCTCCCAATTCCGCGGTTCGCGAGATACAATTAAGAATCCAAGCCGAGGAATTCACGGTGCGTGGGGAGGATAAATTGTTTGTCTATTTAAAATCCCAGAGAATGTTTACGACTGTTTGAGACGATAATTTAAATATCTCGGTACTTTAAACATTAAATCCCTCGTCGGTTCGTTTGGAATTCAATATCAACAGTGGTCTCCACTCCAAATAAATAGTTGTCGTACCTCCGGTGGAAAAAAAATGGGAATAATTTCCCTTCGTTTATGTTGTGTTTAACAACGTGTTGGACGGGAGTAACACGTTGTAAGGGGAAAATAGTATATAGTTAATGTGCGTGTTTGATCCGAGGAATGAGAAAGAAGGTTTCCAACTCTCAAGACGAAAGGAATCCCAATGATAGAGTGGGAGAGAGGAAGGCAAAAGAAAGGCATTCGTCGCTCATAAATTGGCTAATTTTAGAAAACGGGTTTTGATGGTGGAATACCCGTGATAACCATGGATTTTGTAATCCTGTGGATTCAATTCGACAGTTAATCCTCTACATAATTAAACGACAGGTCATTATTAGTCCGAAATGACGAAGCGTTTGTACTTGCATTTGAAATTTATCTCATTATTTTTTTTTCATTGCCCCACAATCTTTTTACTTCCGATATTTTTTTTTTAGGAAAATATCCAAAAATTATGGGTTAAATCACAAATGAATTTCAAATAATTTTAATCAACTCGAAATTTGATAAAACAAAGAAATTACGGGTCAAACTTGTGGGTCAAATGATTCATAAAATTCAACTAGCTTCAACTAACTCGCAATAAAAAAAATTATAGAAAGTTATGAGTTAAAATTGTAGGTGAAAATAAAAATAAAATTTAAATAATGACAACCACCTCGGAACACCCAAAAAACCACAAAAATCATGGGTTAAACTACTAGGTCAAATTCATGGGTTAAAATCGCGGGTGAACCAGCACCAAAAATTAAAATTCCATTAAAAACGACGATAGCCCACTTAAAAAAATATTTTCAACGCTCAATCACTCCACTAATTATTGAAAACTCACTTGATCCTCGTTTCAATCTCCACTCATCCGAGCACCAATCGAATTATCACTGACAAGAAACGAACAGTCGTACAACTCAGTAGCCACTAAACTGATTCAGAATTCCCTCGGCATCCCCTATTTGTAAGGGGGATGTAGGCGCGACGTTGTTGGCCAGTTGGCGCCGGTTCACCATTCTTCGGTGGATAACTCGTGGGTGGTGCAAAGAGAAGGCGCCTTTTTACCCCCCCTCAACCCACCAACCCCCTAACGCCCCACTCAATCCTCAAACGCGACGAAATCTCCATCCCCCCATTCCCCCAACTACCCCCACCGACCCCGCCGCCATTTTATCTGTCTCTTTCGTCCCCCATCAATTTTCCAAAACCCATCCTAACCGAGGGGGCGATGTAAAAGAGGGGGGTAGGGGTGAATTCATAAAATTCAATCGGTCAAATTGTAACAGGAAATATTTTTATCTGTTGATAAAAATATTATCAATGATTTCCTCTCAAAATTCAATGATCAATCGAAGGGGGCGGATAGGGGGTAGGTGGGCGGGGGGAGGTGAATTAAAAAAATTCAGGGGATCGTTAAAATTGTTATAAGAATAATTTTGATGTGTTGATAAAAGAATTATCAATGATTTCCTCTAAAAATTAGGGATTAATCGGAGGGGGCGGATTAGGAGGAGGGGGGTCCTAGTCTTTCGCGGTGATGGAGTCCTGGTGAATGGGAATTCAGGATTGTACTCGAGGGGAGGGTTTATGCCCCCCAAATTGAAACGACAGAATTCTCAAGTGAACGACACACACATATCGGAGCCAATAGAGTCGATTCGGGTAAAAGAGGGGGAGAGAAAACGTGGAAAAGTCGGTATGGGGATGAGGGTAGAGGCTCCAACGGGCCACCGACGGCTGGTCCGACTGGCGACTTGGATCTCCTTGTTTATCATCCTCTTCCTCTCCTCATACCCCTGGACCATTTCGTATAACAAGCGTCAAAACACTTGGCGCCCCCCAAATGTATTTTCAGGGGGTGGACGGGGGGGTTGAACAGCAAAAAAAACAATGGGGTAACGAAAAATGGGGTGGAGGCGCCTGTCGGTCGATCCTGTCACCCTGCGTGTCTGGGATATTAGGGGAGTCAATCACTTTGCTCTTGGGGTTGCTCTGACAGCGTCCTGATACCCCCCTGATGATGAAAAAAAAATGGGTGATTGATTTGGCGAGGGGAGTAACTCGGCAGGGGTTGCTCAGTGGGGAAAAGTCGTTGGACACTTTTTGTGGGATATTTCAGGGGCTACTAAAAAGTCCTCTGGTGTTTTTTGATAAATTCAACCGTTTGACGGAGATTTGTGAGATAGCGCGGAAGGAAGAGATGATAAAAGGCGAAACAGATAACGTTTCAGTGAATATCGCAAAAACCGGTAGGATTAGCGGAAAATGTCATTAGAATTTTTTACAGAGCATTCAATTCTCTGGAGATAAGTTTCTATCCATTTTTTTGTATGTCCACTAGATATCCTGGAATAATCAACTACAAGAGAAGTGATAAAATAGAAAGCAAGAAGAACTCTCCCCTACTTCCTCAAATATTTAAAAAACCATCATAGACATAAAAAAACTCCATTAAACTTTTCTCAAGAGAATAAAATTCCCCCCGAAAAAGTTCCCACAAATATTCCTGTAAAACCGCTATATCCCCGAGTATGTACCTAAAATACCCGACATTAATGTAACTCCCCCCCCCAAAAAATCGTTAGAATTGAAACGTGACACGTGAAAAACGACAGAAGTAATTCGAAAAGAAAACAAAAACCCATTGATAAAGAGAAGAAATGATGCAGGGAATAGGGGGATGTACAGTTGGCGTCAACCCCGAGGTTTGGCGTCTCTGTTGGGCGTCGGCGGGACGTTGGGACTCGTCTCCACCGGGGGATCTTCACCCAGGGGTACCCCAACAGGCCAAAGCTATCCCTAAAGCTGACTGGCTGGCGCCAGATTCAACTGTACCTTGACGCCAGTTAAACCGTCGTCGTCGCGACGCAACTCCGCGCCATCGGGCTAGACTCTTCCTCGGCAATACTCTACCCATCTGACACTCTTTGGCGCTTACCCCGTGGCTCCTGCGCTCTTTTTTCACCCCCCCATCTCTCCCATCTCTCCTCCCCCTGTCCCATCACCCCATCCAACCCCCTCGCCAGGAATTCACACACATTCCAAACGAAACGATATGATAAACCAAAGTGCAGAAATTGGTATACGAGGGATATCAAGACCGGTTGGCACCAGAAACTCGATGGCAGGATCAATTCTATTGGGGGAAAATAACTCGCCCGTTTAGGACATTATTTCACTTATTTTTTGTTTATGTTTTTGAGGCTTCATGTTAGATTCCTTGGAATTCTTCGGAGGAGGGATCACTCGATTTTTATTGGAATTATTTATCTGTATTCGAATTTGAATTCAATGATGATTTAAATAAAAATGAATGATTTTTTAAATAAAAGGGTGAATTTTCATTTTTCATCATTTATTCTATAGGTTTTTATATTTAGTGTCTAGAGTCTTTGAAATTCTTTGAAGTATGAGTTTTAATTCGATTTTTATTCGACATCTTTATTCGAATTTCATTTAGCCTGGATGATTCTGGGGTTAAATCATAATAAACAATCAATAATAACTCGTCAGTGACTTTTTAAATAAAACATGAATTCTCATCAAGGGTACCTCAATTCCAAATCCGAAATTCAGATAAAAAATCCAGGGGATTTATGTTATAAAATTTAAATAATGACTAATTTCTCAATCCCCAAGGTTGTGCAATACATACACCATTTTCTAGTCATATCTCAGAATCAAAAAGAGCTACCAAAATTTTCAAAAAGACCTTTTTTCCAGCCTGAAATCCTCGCTACAAAACAGTCTCCACAAAGATTTCTCTATCTCCCCTAGATTCCCAGATATCCTCCAAGAACTCTCCTCCCCCTCAAAATCCCCTTCCCCAATTACCAGACCAACTAATTAATACAATTACACTAAAAAAACCCCCAGTGAAGGCCCTAAAAACACGATCCACTGCCTTGAATTCAAAGAATATTTTTCAATACTGGAATTTCCAAAAAAATTAACGAGCAATTCCCATCACCGATGAATCCCTCCCCCCAGACAATTGCACAATCCTGATAAGATAACGAATGGTGCGACGGATGTTATGCTGTGAAATTAAACTCCACTCCTTTTTTTATGAAAGATTAACGCGCAATGCTGTACCCACGGGGAAAAAAATTGGTGGGAGAGGCAAAAGGGGGGGGCAATGATACACTTTAGTTTCCATCAATTGTACTGAGCAGTTTGGATACCTCGCGCACTCTAGTTTCAACTCCTTCACCCTCTGGAACAATCTCCAAACCATTCCCAGGCGTTCCAGTCTGTCCAGGAATTATGAGCGACTTGGGCCCAATCTATGTGGGCCTGGACCTCAGTACACAGCAGGTTCTATTTTTTTTTTAAATTAATTAATCCTCACAACTGATTAATCACCCAACACTTGATTGTAAACGTCAAATGCACTTTTCATCAACTGCTTTTTAGGGTCGGGGTTTATGGGCCTTTTTTATTGCGACTCGGAGACTCATTTGCATGATCTTTTTTGCGAACCGGTGGAAGGGGTTGGGGGGTGATTCAGTGTTTTTACTGGGGGGCAGGGGGGCTGTCATTTTTGTTTACTCACTTTGAGGGACGACGCAGAGGTGATGGTGGACGACTTCTGGGTAGAAACAGGTGCTGAGGGGGACGCACCTGCGACGCCACTACGAACACCTGACGACTGGCGGGAGTTTTGAATGCGTCCTTAAAAAAAAATTATGACCAATTGTTGTCAGTATGTACTCAAGATACATACACACTCAAAACTAGAAATACTACAGATTTTTACATGTTTTTTTTTTCTGTAAATAATTGGGATGTTTTTTTGATTTTCCAGTTGAAGGCTGTTGTTGTTGATGAACAGTTGAGGGTACTTGATGAAGCTCATGTTCAATTTGACAATGACCTGCCAGAATTTCGGTAATGATAATGAAAACTACGGGATTTCAATGATTTTGGATATAATGAATGAAGATTTACTTTACTAGACCGTTATTTCGATAACGAGTAGTCCTACGTCAGGAGATTATAGGACCTTTTTTGGAGAGAATTCAATTCTCCACAACAAAGGTCCTACAACATTCCCTCATAACTCTCTTCATTAACGAGAAAATTAAAAATTTAATTTGGACGATTAATCCTCCAGTCGGAGAAGATCCTTCGGCTAATTGAGTGATTATCTCGATAAGAAGTGAAATTACGCGGGGGCACGATAAAACCTTTTTTCAAGAGAATTAAATTTTCTACAAGAAAGATTATATGACGGTTTTTCTTACCTCTATTGGCTACCGAGATATAATCGATAATTGCCCTCGATTTACAAATATTTTTCAATCAGCACGTATGGAGGAGTTATTCACAAAAAACAGACACCGAGTGTCATTCAGGCACCGTGCCTGATGTGGGTCAAGGCCCTGGACATGCTCCTGGATAAACTTAGGGTGTGTGGAGTGGATTTTGGCCGGGTCCGCGGTATTTCCGGTTGCGGCCAGGTAGAGTTTCGTTGTCTTTGATCCCAGAGATTGCATCATCGCCCCTTTATTCTGATTGAATTCCAAATGAATTTCAGCAACATGGGACTGTATATTGGAGCAGAGGGGCTGGGGAGATCCTCAGGAATCTCAGACCCGAGAAATTCCTCCACGAACAATTGGCGAATGCCTTCGCCACGTCTCTCGCACCCATTTGGATGGACTCCAGCACTCGAGCAGAGTGTACCATCATCGAGGACGGCATCGGGGGTCCTCTGGTGAGATCATCATCTTCTTCATCACCATCTAAACCTCTCCCCAATTATTATTCCCAATTTTCTAAAAAATTTATCAACATTTCCGTACTTAAACACAAGTTTACTCATAACTGCAGTTTTTTCGAGGCCAGTTTTTTGCCGATATCTCCGAATTCAAAGGCCGTAGCCAATTTTTTGCATAAGCATTTTTTATTGAAAAAAATGAGAGCTACAAAAAATGTATCCATGAAATTATCGATATTTCCCTTGGATTTCGAGGAATCGGATAAAAACTCGCATTGGCTTCTCATTTCTATTCATTCAATTCTAATTTTCTCTGTTCTATTCATTTCTGTTTTATTAGAGATTCGTTTTATCGCTGGATAATTAGATTTCATTGATTTCTGATGGTATTTTTAAGTTAGAATATTTATTGGAGTTGTGAATTTGTAGAAATTAGCAGAAATAACGGGATCACGTGCTTACGAGAGATTTTCTGCTCCTCAAATCACGAAAATCCACCGGACCAGACCGGATGTCTATAATTCGACAGAGGTAATTCGATATTCAATTATCGAAATCAGTTACTCAAAAAAAATGAATAAATTGACCATTTTTATTAATTAAAAATCGAATTTTCTAATCGATTGACTCCATATCTATCCGCCTAATGAATAATAATGAATAATAATAGATAATAATAAAACCTAATAATAAAAAAACCAAAAACAATTTGTTGTTTCATAAAAATCGATTTGTTCATTATTTTTTTAATGATTCTCAGAGAATTCTCAATATTTTTATGATTTCAGAGAATTTCACTCGTCAGTAGTTTCGTCGCCAGTCTTCTCCTGGGAAATTACGCACCAATCGATTACTCCGATGGGTCGGGTATGAATCTTCTGGACATCAGAACCAAAGACTGGAGCGACGATCTTCTTCAAGTATTAAAAATCTCATTTTTCCCCATCCAATAATTTCTCATGCATTAAAATCAATTTTTTCTCAAGATTTCACTGAAAATTCATTTTTCATTAATTAATTTCACGAAAAATAATGAATTGCGATCTCTCAATTTTCAATCGATAGATTTGTGCACCGGATTTACGAGAGAGATTAGGGGAGACCGTGCCTTCTTCCACAGACCTGGGGCCCATCTCCAATTATTTCGTCGAGAGATTTGGATTTAATGACGAGTGCAGAGTCGTCGCCTTCACCGGGGATAATCCCGCCTCCTTAATGGGTAATTAACTAATTAATAAACATTAAAATATCATTCCCTCGATTCCCACCTAATCGTCACAAATTCACTCGATTCTTAAAATATTCCTAATTCACAAATAATTACTTCCCGTTATTTTTCCATTAGGAAATTGTATCGATAGTTAATTACAAGTGAAAGCGAACTGGTAATGAGAATTTTTTGTTAATTATCTGGATTACGAAGAATTTAAGGGAGAAATTCTAGTTTTATGTAGACATTTACAAATTTTTAATTGATAAATAATTGTTTTTAGGGTTGAGATTACAAAAAGGAGATCTTGTCTGCAGTCTAGGCACTAGTGACACTTTATTCCTCTGGCTAGAATCTCCTAAAACAGTTCCTGAGGGCCACATATTCTGCAATCCGATTGACAATGAAGCCTTCATGGGTCTGCTCTGGTAAAAAATAATCTCCATTCATTAAAAAAATATATAATTCCAATAATTAATAATAAAATACCAAAACTACAATTTTCCAGAAAAAATTCACCCCAAAACCCCTACATAAATATAATAATATTATCAATTAATAAATTTCAATAATTTATTTTTAAAGTTTATTCAATTTAATTTAAATTAATCGAAGCTAGGAGGTTGACTAATTAAGGATTATTTAATTATAATGACGTCATTATTTTCAGTTTTAAAAATGGTTCTCTGACTCGAGAGAGAATTCGCGACAGCGCGGCGGGTGGTTCGTGGCAATTGTTCAATGAATTATTGGATAGTACACCGAGGGGTAATTTTGGTAACATGGCTATTTACTTGGATGCCAGAGAAATTATTCCCCCATTAATCGGTGACTACAGGTTCAATAAAGCTGATGAAAAAATATCGAGATACAGTTCCAAAGAAGTTGAGGTCAGGGCACTTGTCGAGGGACAATTTATCGCGAGGAGAGTGTGTGCAGAGGATTTTGGATTTGACATAGGTTTTTCATTATTTTATTCAATCAATTTAATTATTTTGTTAATTGTAATTATCGAAAGGAATTTAATTCGTCGGAAAATATGAGAAATTTTGATTTTTCAGGTCCCAATTGTCGAATTATCGCGACTGGAGGGGCATCTGCTAATAAAGCTGTCCTCCAGGTGCTCTCCGACGTCTTCAATTCTCCAGTGTACACCTCAGTGAGCCCCTAATTTAATTACTAATTAAAAAAATAATCTTATTTCTTCAAATTTTTTGTTTTCATCATTTCCAAGTTTTGTTAATACGGATGGATCTCGCAAATTATTGATTTTATCGAAAAATATTAAAATATCTTTTTCATGGGGAATTTGATCGGCTACAAAAAAGGTCTTATGATATTTTCTCGTGGGGTCGATAGGTTCCGAGATAATGGATGTGTGACTTTGGTCTGTATTGAATTGTTGGAATTTTCTGTTGTTACTCGCTGATTTATTCCAGGAAATGGCGAATTCTGCAGTGCTGGGAGGTGCATACCAGGCGAAACACGCCCTCCATCGCCATGAATCATCCTTCGAGCAAATAACAAGTAGCATTCCAGAGCCAACATTGCTGTGCAGGCCTTACAGTGACGCAGAATCGGTGAGAAATTATTCCACAAGTCTCAATTAATTCTCAGATCGTTAATTTTCTTTCAGATCTACAAACCAATGCTCGAACGCTATCGCAAAATTATAGCTCAATTGCTCGAAACCAACAGCCCTAGCTGAAAAACTCACCCCTCCACCAATTGCCTTAATAATTAATCGATAATTAATTACAATTTTAATACCAGACTCCCAGGAATCTCAAAGAATCCCGAATCACCAGTGACTCAGTGAACGAATGGATTTCCCAAATTTATACAAGTTTTAATTAATTGATTATTAATAAATAAAGTCAGATATTTTCTTCGATAAAACCAAAATTTATTAATCAAAATCCAAATTCACTGAACAATTAATGAAAATCAAGAAATCAGAATTCCCCCAACGAATTCCTTTTTCACACCGAATGAAATTAAAAATTCCAGTGAATTACTTTTTCCTGCCTCCCCTCTCCTTGGGCAACAGATTAACAACCGATCCACTGCTGAGATTATAATACCCCAGTGAATTGAGATCCTTGCAGAAGATTCCCTCGGTCTGAATCTTCTGCTTGCCAGGTGGCATGCCAATGATCTCACAAATACCGGCCTTGAGAGTGGCAATGGTATCATTAGGCTGAAGAGTGATGCTGAGAGTCTGTCCATTGAGTTTCCAATCAGGTTTATCAGTCATTAGAGGAACCACAACACTGAGTTGAACAGGCCCCTTATGCCTCGCCAGGAACTGGGCCTCAGGGATGAGAGAGTCCTCGGTCTTGGCTTTTTTCGCTGGTGACTCCTCCTCAGGGGGTGCCTCCATAGGATGCTTCATTCCCATGGGCTGGGGAATGGGTGGCTGCATCACTGGTGGTGCTGGCATAAATGGTGACATCGATGGAGTCATCAGTGGGGGAGGCCTGATCGGTGGCATCGGCGCCATCATCATCATTGGGGGCTGGGGTGGCATCATGGGGGCCTGGGGCATTCCCATGTGCATCGTCATCGTCGGTGGGGGCGGCTGTTGGGGCACCTGAATGGGTTTTGGCACTGGGGGCTTTGGTGGTGCCTTCAGGGTCGCCTGGGGTTTCGCTGCAACCGCTGCCATGTGTGTCAGCTCCGCTGCTCGACTCGTCACCGGTTTTGGACCGATTTTCTCCTTTTCCTCGTCTGGGAGGAGACCCTTCACCTGTAATAATCAAATCATCAGATCATCATCCCTAAACTAGTTTACTAATTCTTGAATTACTTTACTGATTGATTAATTGATCTCTTCATAATTTATGTAATCAAATTCAAGAGTAAAATGGAAGAAAAATGATTGCCTTGTGAATCTGATGGATTTGTTCCTCCAATGTGATATTCGCCCTGGCAGCTCTGGTGGCAGCTTCAACACTGGACGTATGTCCATCCCAGGTGACCTTGTCATCCTTCCTGGTGTCCTCTTCTCCGATTTTTTTACCAATAGCTGTCTCTTCATCACCAATACCAAAGATATCAGTACGCCTCTCAGCCAAGTGTTTTAATGAGGCATTGACAGCAGCTCCAGATGCATAAACAGATTCCTGATCGACTTTCTCCTGGTGTTTGTCCCTCTGCTCGACCCAGCGTGAGTCGAGGAGTCCAATGTGCATGTGCTCCTCGACTTTTTTCCCGAGTATTTCACCAGTGAGCGGTGAAACGAGGATCACATCAGAGGCAATACTCCTGGATTTCTGGCTGTGCTGTTTCGGATCGTATCCCTTCCTGATGATTACGTTACCAGGTGCTGGAGGTAGTGGAGGTGGTTGCATCGTTCCCCTGCCTCTGGCATCGCTCTGGGGCTCGTTGGGTGTCTCCTCGTCGCTTGAATCCTCCTCCATGTCCTGGACCTGATTGTTGTCCTTGGCTGATCTGTCCCTGTCGTTTTCAGTCCTCTGGGGCATCTCGTCGTCACCATCTGACTCAATTTGCATCTCCACGTCGTCACCATCCTCGATTCTCTCCTGCATCAGAACTCGGGCGCCTACTTCGTCGGGTGTTGTTGGCGCTGGGAAATTGCCAACTTCGAATTGCTGATAATCCACTGTCTCCACGACGACGAAGTCGTGCCAATCGATCTGGGCGTATGCCACTCTCTCACGCTCTAGCTCTTCCTCTTCCTTTCGACGTTGGGCCTCCTGGTACTTCAGCCACTCTGATCGATACTTCACCTGGTCAAGGATACTGTCCATCGATGTTGTTTCATCTCGAAGGCGAGGCAGCAGATCCTTCGGGGGTATCAGCACTTTTGTGTACTGCTCCAGGAGTTTTGTAAAGTACTGGAACAGCGAGTGCTGGGGGCGAAGGAAATCGAATTGGAAATTTCTTTGCTCTCGGTTCATAAGATTTGTCAGGAACTGACGGCCATTTCTGGCGACAAATTGGGCGGTGAGTTTTACGATGTCAAGGTCAAGGGCTGAGATTGATGGGGGATCTGCGATGAATTCGAATTCACATGGTGGATCCTTCGGGATAAATGGCTGTTCCACCTGCTTCAGGATCTCCTGCTGCTTCTGGTGAGCGCTCAAGGTCACTCCTCTTACTGTACCCACTGTACTGATGTGGTCCTGTCCTCTTCCCTCTTTAAATTCTTTCACTTTGTGCTGGTAATACGCGTGATATGGATCACCGAACACCAGGAAATTAAATTTCGCGTTTCCTGCCTCGTTCTGACGAATTCTCGACTCGAACTCTGGACCATTCCTGGCAACAAAGCTCGCGGTCTTGTCGACGATATCTGTGATGGGGATAATAAGAAAAATATAAACATCTTCAGGGATTCATCATCAATGAAAGTTGAAGGACTTATGAATTATTCCGTCATTTCAAAAGATATTGAGAGCATATTTCTGTTTTGAATATCTCGGTAACTATTGGAGTTCCGAAGAAATGGTGAAGGACTTTTTTGCAGTAAATAGAATTTCCCAGATACAATCTCTTCTGTCATTTTCTTCTAAACCTATTCCTTCTCGAGATATTCCCGGTTTCTGTCTAGAAATCTTAGTTTTTTTTTCTCAAAATTATCGCCAATTGATAATTAATGATTTTTTCGGTGTTAAAGGATACTCCTAACCTCCGGAGGAGGATAGATGATGCCGACGATGGGCTGCGATGAAGGTGCAACCTCTTCTCCCTCGATTGGAGGTGGTGGAACGACCACAGAGTCCTGTCCTGGCATTTTCACTGCCTCAATTACTGAATTACCACTAATAATCACTATTTCATCACACTTTCTTCATTAAAAATAATCAGAGAATATCAATCAACGTTTGGGTGCTCCAAAGTGCTTCAGGAACTCCAAGCCACGAAAATGGAATTCCTCTGGAGGAATTCCCCACATCAGCGCCTCTAGTAATGGAAAAACGAATTGAGTTACGTTCATTGAGAATTTCAGACCCTCGGACACGTGTAAAAAACCCCCAGGATCACTGTCATTCGATAATTCCGCCGGATCCACTGGTAATTTCCCTCATAATCACCAATTTATCGAAAATTAATCGGTTGATCGTTTGATTTGAGATCGATGATTTCCTGGGGATAATGAAAAGTCTTGCATCATTCCAGGGTAATTACGGGTTAGGATCATGCCTACTGTCGGCGTCAAACGTGACTCGCTGTTCAAAGCCCTGGGAAAAACATATTGTAAGTGAATTTTCCGTTTTCTTTAAAAAAATACGACAGCCTCTTCAAATTCACTCGTTTTCACCGAGTTTTTCATTCATATCTCCAGAGCAGACGATGCAGTTTTTATAAGTCAGATCTCATTTTGAAGCCAGTGAAAATATCTCAAGAAGGAGAAAATCTGGTTGAATTTCAGTCAGACGTTTTGGAGTTATCGATGATGGAAACCGCGGCTTTTGTTTTTCTCTAATTTATTCTGCAAATTTGAAGGTTTTTGTTGATCAATGGAATTTATTTCAGCTGATGAAGAGTTCCAGACATTGTGTTTCGCCTTCGGGCTCGAGCTGGACGAAGTGGTAATGTGTGAAATAATTATTTTAAATCAATCCCTCAAAAAGCACAATGCAGTCAATTCAAACGTATGGAGTTTTTCCTAAATATCTCAAAATCCAGAGTAGATCCCGAAAAACACCAGGAGAATTTCCCGTAGGCCTTAAAATTCTCTTCAAAAAACGCCCCGAGACTTTTCTCCTAAACCCAACGGATCCGGAAATATTAACGAAGAACTGCACAATATTTCAGACAACAGAGAAGCAGATGATTTCTAAGGAGCAGGGGGCAGAGCAAAGTGTTGGAGCTTCTGAAGAAATCATCTACAGGATCGACATTCCTGCGAACAGATACGACCTTCTGTGTTTGGAGGGCATCGTCACCGGGTTACTAATATTCCTCGAAAAGTAATCGATTATCAATCAATCATTAATGCCCCAAAAAATCCAAATCTATCAGAATTCTTTCAGAATTCCAGCTCCTCGATACAAGAAAATTCATCTAAAGCCCAACGACAGACAAACAATCAGGGTCACCGAAACAGTAAGAAACAATTAACTCAATCAATCTAATCAACATAAATCTTAATTGAATGAATCTAAAATCGATTGAGTGAATTTAAGTCGAATAATTCATAAAAATATTCCCAGGGAATTAATTAAAATAAATTAAATTTTTTGGACATTTCAGTGCCAGCAAATCCGCCCTTTTATCGTCGGTGCGATCCTGCGGGGCGTGACCCTGACGAAAGAGTCCTACGATAGTTTCATCGATCTCCAGGACAAATTGCACCAGAACATCTGCAGGAAACGATCTCTCGTGTCCATTGGAACTCACGATTTGGATACGATAAAAGGCCCCTTTACCTACGATGCAAAACCCCCACAAGAAATTCGTTTCAAACCCTTGAATCAGGATAAGGAATACAATGGCCTCGAAATCATGGAACTCTACGCTGTGAGTTACCCCCAGATTATCAAAATCCTTCATTTTCCATCAATAATAATTTTTGTCTTTCCATTTACTATTTATTTATTGATCTCTACATGAAAAACTAAAGACTCTTGATTATTCAATTACCAATTGCTTATTTTTTACAGCATCATGCTCAGTTGAAGCAATATTTACCAATAATCAGAGATAGTGCAGTATTTCCAGTTGTTTATGACAGCAAAGGAACAATTTTGTCATTACCACCGATAATAAATTCTGATCATTCAAAAATAACGCTGAACACTAGAAATATTTTCATCGAGGCCACAACCACGGATTTAACAAAGGTATGAGCACATACCTTTCCAGACAGTAAATCAAATGCTTTTGATTAATAAAATTGAATTAAACCGTCGAAATGTCTTCAATTTTCTGCAATTACAGGCAGAAATTGTTCTAGACACTCTAGTATGTGCATTCAGTCAGTATTGCAAAGAAAAATTCACGGTGGAACCCATCGGAGTTCTTTGGAAGTCCAAGACAAGCTCTGGTGATGCTAGCTATCCGAAATTGAGCTACAGGGACGTTGAGATCAGTAGCAAAGAGGCTGTGAATTATGTCGGAATCGATCGTTCTCCAGAGGAAGTGGCACGATTGCTCTCGAAGATGGGATTGAAGACGACTGTCAAGGGGGAGGATCTCCTCAGTGTGGAAATTCCACCAACAAGACACGATGTGATTCATCCCTGTGATATTTACGAGGACATCGCGATCGCCTGGGGGTACAACAACATCGAGAGAACTATTCCACAGACATCGACCATTGGGAAAGAATTTCCACTGAATAAATTGTCAGATCATCTCAGGCTGGAGTTGGCTCAGGCTGGATTCACTGAGGCTCTCACGTTCTCTTTGTGCTCCAGGGAAGACGTCTCGGGGAAGTTAGGGTGGGGTTTTGATGAAATTCCTGCTGTCACGATATCAAACCCCAAGACTCTCGAGTTTCAAGTAAATTTTTCAATTTTTTGGTACAACAACGAAATTTATGGCATTTATTTAGGGAATATCTTGGAAATCAAAGGATTTAGAGAAAAATACTTGAGGGCTTTTTTGTAGCTCAAAAAAATTTTTATGGAAAAGATCTTATGACTTTTTTTGCTGCGCATAGTATTTATGGAGTTGAAGAGTAAATTGGCGAGAATTTTTATTTGAATTTTGCGAATGTCGCGGGGCAATGGGATTTTATGGGTTTTCTTTGGATATTGAACAGGTGGCGAGGACGTGTCTTCTCCCTGGACTCCTGAAGACAATCTCAGCCAACAAGAAGATGCCCCTGCCCTTGAAGCTCTTCGAGGTCTCCGACGTTGTCCTGAAAGACAAAAAATCTGAGTGCGGAGCTAGAAACGAGAGAAGATTGTGCGCAGTCTACTGCAACAAATCCGCTGGGTTTGAAATCATCCACGGGCTGCTAGACCGAGTCATGCAGCTCCTGGAGGTCCCCTGGAGCATCGACAAGAGTAAGGATGGGTATTACCTCGAGGCAGCCGAAGGTAAATATTTTTTTCTGCATTAAATCCCCAAAATTCACGAATGAATCCATAAATTCATATAAAATCACTATTCTCTTTTCTCCATTTAACGCAGATCCCACGTACTTTCCCCAGAGATGTGCGAAAATCATAGTTCATGGTCAGGAAATCGGAAAAATGGGAGTTCTACACCCGGAGGTCCTCCAGAAATTCGAGCTACACCTCCCCTGCTCATCACTTGAAATCAACATCGAGCGATTCTTGTAATTAAACATTTTCTAATTCCCAGGAGTCACTTGTATTTATTCCCCGGAGAAGATCCAATAAATGGTATTCTTTCCTCATCTTTTCACTCAGTATTTACGAAATTAATAACTTTTCCATCATTTCCTATGAATTTTTCCCAAATAAATTCCCGATTCCATAAATCTCCATAAAATTCCAAAAATCCATCCATTATTTAATTATTTTAATCAATTTTATCAATAATATTTATTATTAAATTATTTAGCGATCATTAAATTATTCAACTTCAAACTTTGCCGCGTCCCCATGAAAACCGGCCCGCGCCCCCAACCCCTTCCGTAATTACGAAATTAATAACTTTTTCGCTCATTTCTCATTAATTTATCTCAAATGAATTGCAAATATCCATCCGCATTTAATTAGCAATTAATTTTTTATCCGTCAAATTAATTTCGTTCACAAACTGCAATTAATGATTAATTAATAATAACAGTAATAATAATTATTCAATTATTTACAATTTAATAAATGATTTTCGTGAATTAAAATAATCAAATCAATTGAATGAATTTAATTTTACAGCGATATAATAATACATATAAAAAATTTCAATTTCAAATTTAGCCGCGTACCCATGAAAACCAACCCGCGCTCCCCCTCACGCTATTTCCATCGCGTCGCCTATCGCGATCCGCGAAAATCCCTCCCCCCCTCCCCGCAAATTACTAGGAAACGTAGTCGTTGCTCATGGTTCGGCCACAGTCGGCCATAGTAGACATGGCGGATGTTAGCTTACGTGAATGACGGGTGAAGAAGTGAAAAAAGAAAAGAGAAAAAAAAAACCGTAAAATCCCCCGAATAAACTGGCAAAAGCCCCGCGTTAAATCCACCACCAACAGCCTCACCGAGTACCCCATCACTCGTTCCTAAAAAAATAACACCAGGTCGAGGTATAAAGAAGTAATAACTACCCCAAAGTGAAAAGTGTGTGTTGGTGGCCACGGGGTACGATTGAAAGAGAGGAAGAGAAGAAAAAAAATTTGTGTCATATGATTAATCCGGTAGGTAAAAATGCAGAATGTAGCACAAGGAACAACCTCGGATAGCCAGAAGCACGACAAAGCTTGTGCTCAGGAAGTATCTACACCACAGTCTTCAATCTCAACACCGACAAAGTCGGAGACCGAGACCTTCTCCGAGCACCAGCCACGATTTATGACAGACTCGTCGGAAAGTGAGGAGGACAGTATTTCCGAGGTAAATTGGCTCCACCATTTTCCCTCCGGATTTATCCCTCTTGCGATCTCTCTTGAACGCCAGAATGTGGGATTTTTTGGCTTTTCAAGGGTCGCGGAGGGGAGGTGGACAGGGGAGTTCGAGGGGAGGGGTCTGTGAATTTTTTTTTCTCTTTTACGTCCATTTCCATTGCGCACGAGGGGCGGCCTCTCCGCATCGCAGTAGTCGGGGCCTCAACACTCGATGCAATTTCATTTTTTTGAGCTTTTTCGGTTTGAGGGATTACGAGGAATTTTTGCGGACCTAAAGGCCGGAGAATGCCAGTTTTTTTTCCTCTGTTTTGTGTGTTTTTACCTCAGGACTGCACCCTGACATGATCGGATAATCAGAGTTTTGGCCAATCGAGACCGATCACGTCGTGCATCAATTAATCGTCACGTTGGGAATGGGTAATGAGTTGTTAATGTTGTGGAGTTTTTTTTATTTGAAATAATGGAGTTGTCGTGAAAGTACGGGGTTTTTCGGGGTGGGTGTAAGGAGCTTTTTTGGAGAGAATTTAATGGGCTGCAAAAAAGTTGTCTTGATGTTTTTTTATAGATCCAGTAGTTCACTAGATAATCACGGATTAATGTGAAGTTTTTTTCTTTTAGGAGTTTGGAGAGTCTTTCGGAAATGCCTCGGTATCTCGAGAACTATTGGGTCTAGGGGTAAATGTTGTATGACCTTTTTTGTGGGGAATTATCTCGTCGCGGAGAAGTTCTTATGACATTTCTTTGTGGGACTGTTATTTATCGAGATATCGGTGATTGTGTGGTGGGAATCTGTTGGATGGGGTTTTTCCGGAATTTTTAATTTGAAATTTCCTCTCTCACTCCTCTGAATTCCAATCCTCTTGAGTATCCGCAACGTCGCGTCAGGTTGCCCTGAGTTATGTTCTCTTGTGCCTGTTTTCTGTGCCTTTGATCCGAGAGGCCTACGACCTAGCCTCTTCTCCCACTATTACCCAAGGGGGAACTCTTTACTCCCAACAACTGGGGATACAACATTTGTAAATAAAAACTACAGCATGAGTAGCAGTGTTTCGTACTCAATCTCCACTTTCATTATCAAAATAATGAGAGGATGTTGGAGGGAGTGGGGATGACTTCTTTTTATTTTTATCGATGCAATAATTAATTCAACTGCATTTTTTCACTATCTCGTGCCAATGGGTATTTGTGTTTGATTACATAACATAACAGGAAACCGAGGAGAGATTGTCAGGTGTAAAGGAGAGAGATGTCAAATTCTCGGTGAAATCACTCGGTTTTCGTTTGAATTCAACGGGAATTTTATCATTCTGTCGATCGTTGGATTCTCTCTGTTGTTCGTTGGTTTGTGAAGAGCATTTTTAAGACCTCTCTCGTGGGAAATATTATACTCTGGATAAATATTTTTTATTACCCTCTCAGCTGACTCGAGATATTTGCTAAACAATGGATTTATCTGCAATGAGTGGGTTTTCGGGGAAATGATGTGTGAGATTTTTTCCGGGAAATTTTATTGACTGTAAACAATTTCTATGCTAATTGTCTCTGAATCTAATATTTTTTCCTCTATTTTTCAATTTGCACAGATTTATTCATAGTTTTCGCGTAAATGTCTATTAATCTCGACAATTATTGATTCTAGGAGAAAATTGGAGGAGGTGTTTTTAGTCGGAAATTTGATGGGCTCCAAAAAAGGTTCTCAAGATTTTCACGTGAAATCGATTCTTCTCTCAGTAAATCGGTAATTAACAGAACTGTTGATTTTATTTTACTTTCCCACGTTTCAACTGCACAATCTCCATGAATCCATCACTGCCATCACCCACATCCCCTATTAATAACAATCAGACTCGTAAAAAAAAATAGACAATTTCAGAATTCGAATAGAAATGAAATCATCTGAATTGTCAGCGAACGTCCAAAAATTACCGACATTCTCCCAATTACGCAATTAGCAAAATATGAAAGGAGCACTAACAAACCGTGAGATCCCCTCCAATCCCCTCCCAATCCCCATCCCCAACTGATTCATTCTATTAATTAATCATTTGTCGAGTCATTACCCCAAAGTCCATCCCAACTACTCCCAACAAATTAAATTAATAATGAAATTTAAAGACATCCAATAATTCTTTCACCTAATAGTTCTACACTAATACTCAATTAACACAATATTAACTAAATAATAAATAAATGAACAGTTCCCCTGAATTCCATTGAAAAAATCCCCAAAACGTTATAATTAATACAAAATATTTAAAAACCCGAAGCACTTGATAATTCAATATCACCAGTTCCTTCTCAATAATTAATTAAACAAATATATAAATAAATAAATAGATGATTGGATGAATACAAGAGGAACCCTTGAATTGTACGTTAATAAAAATTGACGGTTTTGTGTTAATTCGGTTGATATTATAATTACGTGGATTAATTTAATGAAAAATTATGGAAAAAAAAGTAATGGCCCCCTTCCCTCTGAATCCTTTGTTCCCCCGACCCTGGAACCCCTCAGGGCCGTAACAACTAAAGGGCCTCTCTCTCTCCCGAGCAAGTGTCAGTGCGATTCACCTCAGTGGAATGGCTGCACATTGTTCAACTCTCATTCCTCAATTTTTATAATACATTAGACCGTTTTGCCCGATGGTAGCCAGAGCCCGAGCCGACACGAGAGTCACCCGAGGCTCTCAAACCCATTCTGTGCAACAATGACGTATTGAGCTCCCACCATAAACTTTCACTCGTGTCTTCCCTGAGTTGAAAAAAAAAATCCCTCATCCAGAGGCTGAAGAATCCTGAAGAGAGAAAAAAAAATGGCAATTTAAATCAGTGAGCAGTGAACAGTGAGAGTTGATCGTGCAATTTGGATTTATTTCTTTCTTGCCTTTTTTTTTCAACTCGTCTTTTTTTTTTCAAGAGAGGTTGGACTGAGTGCCACGGAGTCGTTCGATGCCCCCTTCGTGTCCTTGTTCCAGAATGTTAAAAACCACCTCTCGATTATAATTATTTGTTGGGCAAAAAGGTGGTGCTGGGGCCCTTGGGAGGGATTATTTGGTGATGTCGGGGTTCAGTGATTTTTTATTTTTCTTCGGGAATTTCGGGCTCATGTAAACTCACCTAGAACTTGAGTCGCTCCGCATTTTTACGTGATGAATGGCCTCTCTCTCCTCGCCAACGATCATAACCTCTATTGAGATAATTCTGATGGAGTAGTTGAGAAGTTGGGGTTTAAAACAGTCAAATGGTTGGGATTTCCCATTTATTTTTCATCATTCGAGTGTCGAGGAGAGAATTTGAGTTTTTTAACAGCTGAGAACAACGTTGTAAGACAATTGTCTTCTAGAACTGCTGCAAGGGCAGATACCGAAATTTTCGATAGAACCTTTTTTCAAGAGTGAAACGAGCTCCACAAAAAAGGTTCTCGCAATTTTCCGCTATCTCTCTTAGATTCCTAGATATTTCGCAAAATATTAATTACCTCGACCTGTTCTCCATCTCGTTTCAACTGACAACCAATTAATCAATTACTCCTCAAATCAATTCAAGAAAATCAATTACTCCTCAAATTCTCCTCCTCAACATCAAAATCAACAAATCAATCCGTTAATTAGACTTTACAAACTGTGAATTCCCTGCAGCCGGAATTTTTTCGTGCTGCCATTGAACAAGCTGCACTGGAAGAGGATCATCAACTGGAGTCATCAAAATTTCTGCTGACACCTGAGGATCCGGAGAGATCTGTCGATCCGGAGACACAGGCGAGACTCGAGGCATTGCTCGAGGCAGCTGGCATTGGAAAATTATCCTCTGGAGATGGAAAACATCTCGCTGATCACGAGGTACTCAGACGTTTAACGTCCAGTGTTTCTTGTGCACTTGATGAGGCTGCTGCTGCTTTGACACGTATGCGTAGTGATAATCCGAGAAGTCAGAACGAAAAAAGATCGCTCGTCGAGGCTTGTACGGACGGTGACGTTGGTACTGTCAGAAAATTATTGACAGAGGGTAGGAGTGTCCACGAGACCACCGAGGAGGGTGAGAGTCTTCTGTCATTGGCCTGCTCTGCTGGCTACTACGAGCTTGCACAGGTGATTATTCTCCCAATTTTTAAATTCAATGAAATTTCAATTAAAAGACAAATTGTGAATCTATTTAAATTTCGCGTTTCCACGATATCTTTCAGGTACTCCTCGCCATGAACGCCAACGTGGAAGATCGTGGAATAAAGGGTGACTGCACACCCCTGATGGAGGCAGCATCAGCAGGTCACGTTGACATTGTCTCACTCCTGATAGCCCACGGTGCAGACGTCAATGCCCAATCAACATCTGGAAATACACCCCTGATGTACGGCTGCGCTGGTGGTCACGAGGACGTTGTCAAGGTACTTCTCGAGGCAGGTGCCAACGTTGAAGATCACAATGAGAATGGTCACACACCCTTGATGGAGGCAGCAAGTGCAGGACATGTGCCAGTCGCTAAAATACTTCTGGTGCATGGGGCAGGTATAAATACACACTCGAATGAATTCAAGGAGTCAGCCCTGACACTTGCCTGCTACAAGGGACACCTCGATATGGTGAGATTTTTACTGGAGGCTGGTGCTGATCAGGAGCACAAAACCGATGAGATGCACACAGCACTTATGGAGGCATCGATGGATGGACACGTGGAAGTGGCACGGTTACTACTCGACTCTGGCGCCCAGGTCAATATGCCAACGGACAGCTTTGAATCACCACTTACACTGGCAGCATGCGGTGGACACGTTGATCTTGCAATGCTGCTGATTGAGAGGGGTGCCAACATCGAGGAAGTAAATGACGAGGGTTACACACCACTCATGGAGGCAGCGCGTGAGGGACACGAGGAAATGGTCGCACTATTGCTCAGTCAGGGTGCTAACATCAATGCCCAGACTGAGGAGACACAGGAAACAGCACTGACACTTGCCTGCTGCGGTGGTTTTCTCGAAGTAGCTGATTTTCTCATAAAAGCTGGTGCTGATATCGAGCTTGGAGCATCAACACCACTGATGGAGGCTGCACAGGAGGGACATCTCGATCTTGTCAGGTATCTCCTTGAGTTTGGTGCTGATGTACACGCCCAGACGCAGACTGGTGACACTGCATTGACTTATGCATGTGAAAATGGCCACACCGATGTTGCTGATTTCTTACTGCAATTTGGAGCTGATCTTGAGCATGAGTCTGAGGGTGGTAGAACACCACTTATGAAGGCCTGTCGGGCTGGACACCTCTGCACTGTTCAATTTTTAATCTCAAAATTAGCCCGTTTAAATCGTAATACAACGAACAATGATCATACACCACTGTCACTTGCTTGTGCTGGTGGTCATGTGGCTGTTGTTGAATTGTTGTTGGCACAGTCTGCTGATCCATTCCACAAGCTCAAGGACAATTCAACGATGCTCATTGAGGCTGCCAAGGGTGGGCACACCAATGTTGTTCAACTGCTGCTGGATTATCCACACAGTATCATGCTTAATGCAGCACCACATGGTATACCACATGGTGTTGCTTATGCATTGGCTATGAGACAGGAGAAGAGCAGTGGTACTGTGCAGCAGAGTGGTGATGAGGTGCAGGTTAAGGGCAATGGTAAGAGTCTTCTGAGGAAAAATCATCGGGGTCCTGCTGTTGCTGATGTTGCATTGACATCAGCTGAGGCACAACAGGTCAGAACACAGCCAGTAGGTGAGGCTGGAGTTGCTGCTGGTGCTGTTGATGATACCAATATATTGGATAAGGGGAGTGGTGGATTTGGAGGACTCACTGAGCCCAATATCACACTCAGTCCAGGACAGGCTGCTGGTACCAGTGGTGATGGCAGAAAGAGTGCAAGGCACGAGCAGATCATGCACAAACAGCAGATTCTTGAGGAGCTACAGGTAGATTTAATTATTTATCTTATTTTATTTTGCATTGAGTTATATTTACTCTGCTGATATCTTCCTCGCACAGAAAAATTCCTGTGATGAATATTTTTTTGAAGTTTTTTCTTTGGTTTTCTGTGTGGGGAGTGCAAGAATTGAGCTTGAATACTAAATTAATGTGGAAGAACTTCAAAAACGTGGCATTTCAGAGGGTAGAGCGTCAGCTCCAGTACAAGGGAGCTGGACACCTATTTCTCGGTACTCCAAATATTGATGAACAGAAACGACAAGTCTCAGCTGGTGATGGAGCTGACTCCACCGATGCTATACTGCCAGGAATGATGAATATCGACTTGCCAGCTCAACCAACCACTGCGCCCTGTGGTGAGTACCAAAATAATCATCACAGTTACTACCCAGCACTGCCCATTCCCTCAGTAGCGAAGTGATTAATTATCTTGAATTTGAATTAATCGAGTATCTCAATAACTGGGGAGTCAATCAAAAAACGTAAGAGGACTTTTCTTCCGATCATTCGTTTCTCTGAAAAAAATTTCTTTCTCGTTTTTCCCTGAATCCCTCAATTGTCTGGATAATTCCACATTTACTGATGAATTAAAAGCAAAACACCGGAATTGCTTGTCAATTTTATTTTTATTCGTTTTTTTAAAATTAATTTATAGAGATGATGTGAATTTATTTCCCTGTAACTCCAATAATTCCTCGATAGTCGAATAAAACCACTTCACTGCTGTTAAACCCCCAAAAATCCTTAATTAGTAATTAGTGATTGAGTGTCGCATGTGCAGCATTATCTCTCCGTAACACCTCGGTCTTTAATTCCCGTAACAATACAAGTGATTATCCTCCTTACCCCTGATGAGACCGAGTAATGGCACAATCGTTCGAATGGTATTGGTGTTTCGTTAGGACTAGTCTGCGGTACATCAGAATTATCAGATGACGAAGATCCAGACGCACTGGCCTTGTGTCAAGCGATAAACCGAGGCATTAATATTGGCAAGACACTAATGTTGAGTGAGAAGGGGAGGGCAGCAATGAGATTACTACCCCAATCACCAAACGATACAGTACCATCAACATCAGCTGTTACAACACCAACAGTTTTACCACTAGCTGCCCATCCACCACCGACATTTAATTTTCCAAGCAATGCACTCAGCCAATTACCAGTCACCCAGTCGCATCAAACAATAACAACAATAAGTGATGTTAGCCAGAATACAGCAATAAGTGATCGTCCAAAGGCTAAACCAGTGTCCAAGAAGGAGGGAAAGAATTATCGTAAATCAGCTATTGCTTATGGAAGATTTTTACAACGTGCTGCTGTACTTGAAGCTGCACAACAGGAGAAACAACAGGCGAGCACTATATTTGGTCTGCAGCAGCAGTATGAGGACAAACAGCGACAGCACACCTTTCAAGTTAGACAGGTACATCAGTTACAGCAGTTGAATCAACAGTTACAGCTTCAGCTCGATCAGGTGCAGGTTCGTCGATTGTTTTAATTGAGAGACAAACGTTAACATGAGTTGGTTGGATTTGTTTTATTTCATTTTTTATGGTGGGAGGGTTGATTTATTCAGGGGGGGTACGATACAAGGAAGGGTTGAAGGTTTTTTTTTGAAAATTGGAAATTTTCTCGGGAACAAGGGGTTCTAGAGGAAAACACCAGATAGATTATTTGGAGATTATTTCAATTTCGACAAAAAAGATTTTCTGGTATTTCACTCTAAAATCAATCGTTAACGAGATTATTTAGTATTTAACAATTTGGAATCGTCAACTTGTTCGAGATGATTTTTTTTTCTTTTGCTAATTGGGTTGTTATTTTGGTAACGAGGAGCTTTGGAGAAAAATGGTATTAACATTTTTTGTAGAGTATTGAATAGTCTACAAAATATTTATCATGGTATTTTCTTCTAAAATTAGTCGTTATCGAGATAATTGCCCAATTATACAAGCAAAATATTAATAAATCGAGGTAATCTTCCTGAATACATCCAACACTCCTGTCAAATCCAATAATCATTCGTTCTGTTCTGTTCTGTTGGAATTAATCATTGAATTAACTTGATGTGATAACGGAAGTACCAAATCGACCTAAGAAAGCCTGAGGAAGTAGCCAGATACCTCATCCAAAAGGGATTAAACCACAATGCTAATCTCTGAATGCAGGTACAACAGCAAGAACAACAGCAACCACAACAGCAAGGTGGAGTGGTGGGCAGTGGAGATGTTATGACGCCAAGCCAACTTGTTGCACACCTCCACCCCACACAGACCCACCAAGATAATCAGCAAGATCAGGTATTAATTGAAAAACAAAAAAAACAAAAAAAAACAAAGCAAATCCAAAAATACTGAGAGAAGATTTTCACCTGTAGAAGAGAATTTCTTGTATTTATCTAGAATTTAGGCGAGAATTATTGTTGGATTAATTTGTTATTCGGTGGAATACTTGAGGCTGAATTTGTACCTGATGTTGTTGCATTTTCCAATGTATAGCAAACCAGCCAGCTTAATATACCGGATATGGAGAGTGATTTAACGAGATTGCACAGAGACAGTGCTTGTCCATTCTTTGCTGCTGCACAGAAAGCTAAGGCACTAGCTGCCGATGGCAAAGTACTCCAATTAGATGATGGAATGCAGATACCTATCGACGAGGTCGCTGAAATTATCGAATCCATTACCTTCGACGATGTGCCTAACGGTAATTATCACGCGAATTATGTTGAGAGATTTTTGTTGGTTGGGGGTTGAGGGAATTTTGGAGGTGTCGCATGATTTCACTTCATACTTTTTTTTTCGGGGACTCATGGATTTGGTACTGGGGTTTCTATTTCAGCGGGAAATGAGGAACCCGATAAAGGGGAGTTGAAGAAAATGGATGTCAGGGGATTGGACAGGGATCAGAGGAGGGAACTTGCCGAGGAGTTGCTCTCTGCTGATCAGACGACCATCCGCAAGATGTTTGAGCAGGTATTTTTATTTTTCAATCATATTTAATTGTATTCAATCGTTTCCCCTCGTGACATTATTTCCAAGAGATTAAAAATAACTCATGGAATTAATCCCAAACCTTCTAGGAGGCAAGTGAGAAAGCAAAACGGGAGGCAGAACGCCTGGATCCAATAACGTTGGAGGCATTCCAGCGTGGATATTCGTTTGCCCGTCGTCAACGAAAATTGGATAGCGAACCATACGAGCCGCAGCCACCAACGCGTCACGTCTTGCCAGCCACCTTGGATCGTCTCACCCAGCAACAGCAGCAACAACAGCAGCAGCAGCAACAACAACAACAGCAGCAGCACCAACAACAACAACAACAACCGCAGCAGCAGCAGCAGCAACAACAACAGCAGCAGCAGCCACAGCCACAGCAGGTGCAGGTGCAGCAACCACAGCAGGTGCAGGTGCAGCAACCACAACCTCAACTACAGCAGCAACCACAGCAGCAACCCCAACAGCAGCAGCAACCGCAGCAGCAACAGCAGCAATCGAATGGCTTTGCTCAGCCTTCTAGCTCAACCTGCAACGCAACGACAACGACAAACGTCAATGCAGGCACCAACACTCCAACAACCCAAGTGCAGGTAGCAACCCAGACCCAGGGCCTTGCAACACCAGTCACCAGTGATAAAAAACAGGTTTACACACCCAGTGCTGCAACGAAGGGTAAAAAAGCGAGATATCCATTGGCATCACCTCAGCCATGTCCGCAACCAGCGACGACTGGAGTTTTTGGAGTATCACCCCAGGAATACATCAATGCCAGCAATGTTAATCCAGTGGGGCAGTACACCAGTGGTACTGTATCCACAACAACAACAACACCATCGACTTATACCCCAGTGACACCCAGCACACAATTCTCAGTGATGGACGTGGACTCTGAAACTGACAGCAATCACGATACAGCCTTGACACTGGCCTGCGCTGGTGGTCACGAGGAGCTCGTTGAGCTTCTATTGTCACGTGGTGCTGATATTGAACACCGAGACAAGAAGGGATTTACACCGCTGATTCTTGCAGCCACTGCTGGCCACCAGAAAGTCGTTGAGATATTACTAAATCATGGAGCTGATATTGAGGCGCAATCTGAACGTACCAAGGATACACCTCTGTCTCTGGCATGCAGTGGAGGTCGTTTTGAAGTTGTTGAACTACTGCTGACACGCGGCGCCAACAAGGAGCACAGAAATGTCTCTGATTATACACCCCTCTCCCTCGCAGCATCAGGGGGTTACGTAAATATTATAAAATTACTTCTCAGTCATGGGGCTGAAATAAATTCACGAACAGGATCTAAACTTGGAATCTCTCCTCTCATGCTTGCTGCTATGAATGGTCACACTGCTGCTGTTAAATTACTCCTGGATATGGGTAGTGACATAAATGCCCAGATTGAGACTAATAGAAATACAGCACTGACACTTGCCTGTTTCCAGGGTAGACACGAGGTTGTCAGTCTTCTTCTTGATAGAAAAGCTAATGTTGAGCATCGAGCCAAAACTGGTTTGACACCACTGATGGAGGCTGCCAGTGGTGGTTACGTTGAGGTTGGCAGAGTTTTGCTGACAAAAGGCGCTGATGTCAATGCAACACCAGTTCCATCGTCTCGCGACACTGCCCTAACGATTGCAGCTGACAAGGGACACTGCAGATTCGTCGAGCTACTGCTCACTCGTGGTACACAGGTGGAGGTTAAGAACAAAAAGGGCAACAGTCCACTGTGGCTGGCTGCCAATGGTGGACACCTCAATGTCGTTGATCTGCTCTATCATGCTGGAGCTGACATCGATTCCCAGGACAATCGCAAAGTCTCCTGCCTCATGGCTGCCTTCAGAAAGGGTCACATCAAGGTTGTTAAGTGGATGGTCAATCATGTCACTCAATTTCCAAGTGATCAGGAGATGACGAGGTACATTGCAACTGTCAATGATAAAGAGCTGCTGGTGAAATGTCAGGATTGCGTTAAAGTAATAAGAGCTGCTAAAGAGACACAGGCAGCAAAAGCCAACAAGAATGCCTCAATTTTACTTGAGGAACTCGATATGGAGAAGACAAGGGAGGAGTCGAAGAAAGCAGCTGCTGCTAGGAGACGCGAGAGAAAGAAGAAGAAGAAACTTGAGAAGAAGGAGGAGAAGAGGAAGTTGCACGAGGAGAACAAGAAGAATGAGACAATCTACGAGGATAAAGAGGATGTGAAGAAGAGTGAGGACGAAGAGGAGAGGGGAAATGAGAGTGACAATGAGGGAGGTGCTGATAGCTGCGAGAGAATGGATAATGTACCATCACCATCTCCAGTTAACAGGAGTCCTGATGATCCTGACAAGGAGGAGGGAGACAGTGGCATCGATGCTAATAGTCAGGGTAGCTGCAGTAGCAATGATGTCAAAGCGAGAGAGAGGAAAAAAGAGAAAAAGAAGAAGAAGAATTGCAGTCCAACGAATAATGAGAAGGATTCGTCACCCATCAGGGGTAGCAATGTCTTCACCTCGAGTATGGGACAGAGTGTCATGAAGAATCAGGAGAAGAGAACACCTGTTACTAGCAGTGGGCCATCATCATCTGGAATTAATCTACGATCGACTGCTTCAGCATCTGGAGGTGAGAGAAAGATCAAGGGACAGGTGTTTGAGTCATCCAGGCATCCCGCCGAGAGAGAGGATTTCGAAGCAACTGGAAATGAGAATTACGTTCCTGGCAAAGGTAAAAAGAGTAATGGACAGTACGAGGAGGTGTTTAATGCATCGGTTAAGGGAAATAGCTCGACGAGTCCAAAGGGAACGAAGAGAGAGGAGGGATGGAAGGAGGTTGTGAGAAAAGGTCAGTCCGATGACTCGAGTAGATTCATGAATTCACCATTTAGATCGAAAAAAGTGTCTGTACCACCAAATGCTATCAGCAGGGTAATTGGTAGAGGTGGTAGCAATATCAATGCCATTCGTGGTGCCACTGGTGCACACATCGAGGTGGAAAAGCAGAGTAAGTGTCAGGGTGAGAGAATAATAACGATCAAGGGCTCAACGGATGCCACCAAGCAGGCACACACTCTCATCGCTGCTTTGATAAAGGATCCCGATGTCGATATACTCCAGATGCTCCCAAAGAGCAAATTAACAGTCATAACATCATCAACTTGGGACAAATCAATGGTACCAGCAGCTGCTGCTATGAAACCCAAAATGGGACCCATTACAAAACCACCAACACCTCTGCCCGGTGCAACTGGCATTCATCCAAGCAAATCGTACACATCACCTGGTATATCAGTACCCCAATTGGTACCTCTACGCTCCACATCGTCGATTAAACTAGCTGGTGCCTTTACAACACCCCTGTCAAGAGCAACAGCTCCACGATTGATAGCAGCATCTGATAAACGTCAAGTAACAACATCCACCAATACTCGTACAACGATGTCATACACATCAGCTATAATGACATCGGGTCGTGCTACTAAAGTCGTAACAACAAGTACAGGCCAGACATTTGCTGCTAAATTATCAGACATCACTGCCTCACCAATGCCAGCTCTAACAACATACACAACGGGCTCAAAGCAGAAAGTTATAAACACTATAACTGTGATGTCCTCGTCATCAACAACACCGATGACATCTCCACAGCAAATAATTACATCACCCAAGCACTGCCGAACACTGCCGAATTTATCAGCCCCGACAATGCAGCATTATCAGAATACCAAGACTTCTTACTCAACGAGTTCAACTGTTATTCCATCATCAACAGCGTCCAATGGTTCTGATGGTGGTTTACAAGGTAATATACGTGTCACACCATCACCACCAGCCCCACAAGTATCGGGTAATTCCCAGATTATTCAGAATCAGAGCCAGTGCCAGAATCAGTCGCAAACGCAGCAACAGGGTCAGCCACAGTCGCAGACACAGAGCCACCAGCAGATGAGAAGTACAACACCAGTACCACAGGCACACGAACAATCACCACAGCCACAGCAAGGCTCTATTCCACCGACAACACCATTAGAGTACTCTCTGTTCAATGACACCTTCTCCAAGGTGACGCAGCAGTCGATGTGGGGTCGTGAGAATGAGTCACACCAGAAGGGAATGAATTTTGCAACAGTTGCTGGTGGTGGCTCATCAGCAACATCAACAGCACCACCAAATAAATTCATCGACAGTGCACCACCCCAGGCTGATGCATCAAAAGCACCAGGATACAGAGGTACAGCAATGTGCTCACCAGTATCCAGCAAATCATCGAGCACAACGATGACACAGGGTGTTACACCAGGAATGAATCCTGGTATTCAGCCACAGTTTCAGTCAACGATCAATTACAATATCGAGCCAATACCCAATAAATCGACTGGTCTAGCTGTTACCAGGCCTCTTATCAATCAGCAGAGTATCGAGATGTCTGTGTCTGGTATGAACTTCAACAGGTATCCCGAGATGTCGAGGAGCCAGAGGGAGATGCCACCGCAGTCACAGAGTGCTCCACCAGTTCAAGAGAGACAGGATAATCAGCATATTATACCATCGAGCTCGCAGGCTAACATGGAGATGTTTAAGAGTAACAATGGTGGCTTTGACTCCACTATGAATAACTCGAGACTACTCAAGATGGTGCCGAATGAGGGCCAGCATCTTCTTCCCTTTCATCCTCACATGAGTTTTCCACCGTCGAGCCAATCGAGTGTTAACACAACTGTCAGCATGTCGAGGCTCAATCCGAGGGCACCCGATTTCTCGAGTTCACTTCATGTTAATAATAAACACCAGGTGATGTTCAATGCCAGTGGAATTCATCCGAATATGTTTGCTGTACCACCACCACCCTCTGCTATGCAGAATAATCATGCGATGCTCGCTAATTTTCCTATTGGTAAGTATCCAGGTAGGGGTGCACCTGCTGGTGGTATGGGAAACAGCACTAATGGGCACAGGTGGTTTGGACCACATGGGGGACCCAATTATCCACATCAAGAGCCTATGATGCCACAGATTAGTTTTCCTAATCATCTGGGAAATATTGGCAATATGGAGCTCATTCAGGGTCTTGAGAATGGAGGATCACCTGCTATGTCACCTTCGTCACCTGCACAGGCTGCCCAGGAGATGAGTCAGATGAAGATTGAGGATAGAAAGGTGCCAAGGCCCATTGGCACTGAGAGAGCCTGGAAGAATTATAATGCTGGGATGGGACCTGGTGGCGATGCCGAGGGGATGAATTGGATGCTCAATAGTGATAAGGGTGGCAATTGGTCCAATGTTGGTGTTGGCATGGAGAGACAGGTGTTCAGGGGCGCTGGGTATGGACGTGTTGGTAATATTGATGCTGAGCTCCATCAGATGATTGAGTCAACTTTTCAGGTAAATTTTGTCAGTATTTCATTTTAAATATCTCCGTAACCGGCAGGACTAGCTCGATTTTCGTAGAGACCTTTTTTGTAGATTATTCTATCGTGCACAAAAAATGTTCTGGGGAAATTTTTACTGCTCTGTTAGACTCGGAGATATTTAGTGAAAACTATTTTGAAGAGGTTTTAATTGATTTATTGATTTGACTGGAGGTAATTAATGAGGATTTGATCATTTTTGGTGTTAGGGTCACATGGAGAATCCCCAGGCATTCCCAAATGGTACAGCAGCTGCGGGATTATCCCTGATGCCAGGACTCACCCTAATGCCTGGACAATTTTCAACACCTCCAGCCCTTCAGGAGCTCCCACCACCAGCTGAGCCATCAAAAATGGAAGCACCCAACTGGGGAATGGATCCCAACAATCAAGATAAGCCGCACCCGGTAAAATACATTTATTAACTCTGTCTCCCCCCCCTAAAAAAAAAAACCGCAAAAACCCGAAAAAAAAATACACCAGTTAAGGAAAATTGTGAAACAAAAAGCTTTACTCATGTAATTTTTCTGTAGGGATGGAACAACAAATGGACCCATTAAATGTTAGAACATGCGAATAATTAATACAAATTAAGACAAAAAAAACCACCAACTGGGAGACGAAGATGATACCCCCTTGAAATAATGGAGACAGCAAGAGAAACTCGCAAAGAAAATTATAAAAAAAAAGGGAAAAAACTAGTAGTTGTAGTTGATGAAACTGGCATAAAACAAGAAGCGTTGGTTGTAGACAACACATTAATTACATTACTATATTCATTGACACCCAGACAAAAATCCAATATTACTTGTCATGATAGGTGATAAGAGAATGGTAAAACAAATCCTTACTACAATTTATTGCTATTATTATCTTCTAATATACTTATTCGATACCAATAAATAAATTGGAACAAAAATGGTAAAATATATTAACTGATTGAGGTGTGGAGTTGGATATTGTGACGGCGATTGGGGCTCAACGATTTAAGCCTTGGAATTTGTTGCTGTCCACGATCATAAAATTATTCAAGATAAACAATGAACACACGGGCGTGTTTGTTTTATTGGTCAAACGCAAAAACCAATTATTGTGCGAAAATAAATGAGAGATGATAAATAATATGAAATATACCGTAAAATGAAAAATGCAAATTTGTTGTTGTTTGTTTTATGTTTTCTGTTCATTTCTGATTATATATGTTTCCCTGTTTCCAAATACAGTTACCTTGTCGGGAATATCTCGAAATCTAAGGAAAAAACCCAATTTTCACTCGAATCCTTACTTGCACCTCTCGTTTCGCTCTACGGAAAAGATTTTAGCAAAAATCTCGAAATCTTCCTCGGGTACTGAGATATTCCTCAAACACCGGTCGAGGCTTTTTCCTGTCGATAAAAGGGACTTCGGACTTAGCAATTGAATTCACTCGTCACGTAATTACCCTCCCCCACTTTTCCCTCATTGTTGGACTCAAAGAGGATTGACTAAAGTAGAGGGCCAGTTCTAGGGGTTTGAGTGACCCCACCGGCATCGTAGTACCTCATCCCAAGTGAGAGATGGCGCCACACGCAATGTCTGCCCGTCATTACCGACTCAGTAACTGCCTCAGTAACAATCCAGCTGTCAGAGGGATCAGTCAACGGTGTGAATATTATTTTCTGCGTTATAATAAAAACAAAAATCAATTTCGTAACGCAGAAAATAACATTCACACCGTCGACTTGTCTCTCTGACAACGGGACTGCAACTGAGGCAGTTACCCAGTCGGTAATGACGGGCAGACATTGCGTGTGGCGCCATCTCTCCCTTGGAATGAGGTACTATGATGCCCCTGGGGTCATGCAAACCCCCAGAACTGACCCTCTACTTTAGTCAATTCTCATTGGTTGGACTCTTGAACCCATGGAAGAATTAGAAAAGTGCCACTAAAATTAATTCCCCTGGATTTATAAATTTTATTGCGAAAAATAATTAGTAAATATGTCGAGAGTTCTGGTTGGAGTCAAAAGAGTCATCGATTATGCAGTAAAGGTAAGTCTTATCACAATTATTAACAAATTATCAATCATTATTGCAGGATTGAAAGAATTGTTATCATTGCATTCCAATTAATCTCCACTGGTTTCATAAGAGAGATATCTGCAAATTTGCAACAACAACTGGAGATAAAAAATCTTGAGACATAAAACAAAGCTCTACAAATCAATTTGTTGTCACGAATTCATTTATAATCCATTTTTCACATTTAAATGAAAAAAAAAATTATATAGAAATGTATAGAACTCAATTACTAGATAATAAAATAATATAAATAATGACTGTTTAAATAAAAACCGTAATTACTCCCCAGATCCGCGTAAAACCGGACAAAACAGGTGTTGTAACAGATGGAGTGAAGCACTCGATGAATCCCTTTGACGAGATTGCGATCGAGGAGGCAGTGAGGATGAAGGAGAAAAAACTTGCTGAAGAGGTGATTGCAGTGTCGTGTGGTCCACCTCAGGCCCAGGAGGTACTTCGTACTGCCCTAGCAATGGGAGCAGACAGAGCCATCCACGTGGAAGTCTCTGGACCAGAGTACGATACCCTCCAACCCTTCCACGTCTCCAAAATCCTGGCGAAGCTCGCCCAAGACGAGAAGGCTGACCTTGTAATCCTGGGGAAGCAGGCGATCGATGATGACTGCAATCAGACAGCTCAGATGACTGCTGGTGTGCTTGATTGGCCATGTGGCACCTTCTGCAGCAAAGTAATTCATTCTCTACTCCTATTGCATAATTTTCTCATCAATTATTAACTATTTATTAATTTGTTATTGTATGATTTCCCTTTAAATAAAATGAAACCAATAAAATGTTGCTTTCAGGTGGAGTCTAGCTCTGGAGAGCTGACCATCACCAGAGAAGTCGACGGGGGACTGGAGACCCTGAAGATAAAAACCCCAGCAGTTCTAAGTGCTGATCTTCGTCTGAATGAGCCACGCTACGCTACTTTACCAAATATAATGAAAGCGAAGAAGAAACCGATCAAAAAGACAACCCCCAAAGACCTGGGGATCGAGACAGCCCCGAGGGTGGAAATAAAATCAGTGGATGAGCCCCCAGTGAGACAGGGTGGCTCGATCCTTCCTGATGCCGATGCCCTGGTGGCAAAACTCAAGGAGAAGGGCTTCGCTTGAGGCAGACATTCAATCTGCAGAAGGAAGTACTCCCTGAAGAGGACGAACGTCTCAAAATAATCCCATGCAACGCGCCAAGTCACCACGTTTCATTGGATTCAATTTAATCATGAGGAATAAAATTCTATCGATTCTTAATTCGATTGTAAATAATACTATTTTTTATAAAACATTTTTATGGTGGAATAAATATTTACATTGGCAGATATTCGATTGTTTATTGATATTTATTGTTAATTCAATAATTTTGCTGAGTGATTTGACGTTTTTATTTAGTTTCCAGGAATTCATATTTTTGAACTGACCTCCAAACGCGCGCGCTTTATTTACAAACAAAATGGCGATGGTATCTCACGTGTTGTCTCGGTGTTTCCGGCATTTGGAGCAAAGAGTGATTATTATTAATAATACCAGACCAATTCATGGAATATTCTGTGGTAATATTAACATTAGTACTGAAAATAGAGTTAATAAATTCAGTGACGCCTCAAGAGATTCCCTTTGTCTCAATCATAACCTAAATTGCACGTTCCGACGATGGAAACACAACAGGAGCAGTAAAAAGGTATGAAAAACCACCACAAATCTCTAAATGATAAATAATTACATAATTAATTAATTAATCAATTGGTTACGAGGAAATTACAACTCCCAATTGAAAAAGTGACAGCTAAATAGTGAATTTTATGGCATAGGTGCCCGTAGTAAGGCGATTCTAACCTCACTTTGCTCGATAGAATCGGATTACGGGTCCAATGACATAAAATAGTGTACGAAACAAGTGCGTTATGGATGTTTTGACTCGTGGAATTGTAAAACTCGCTTTCAGCTCGTGTTACAACCCTCCCACGAGCCAAGAAATCCATTACGCACTCGTTGCATAATATAGTATTCTCTCACGCTTTTTCACTCCTGTCGTTCATATTTGCCTGGAAACATTTACAGGGACAACATCGAGAGGAGGATGAAGACCTGGAGGACAAAGACGACGAGGAAATGCAGTTATTGGCTCATGGAAAGAATAATAAAATAATTACCCCGAGTACTAGTTCAATGAGAATCGACGCAGTCGTCAAAGCTGCACTTGGAATTGCCAGGAGGTACGTCAATTGAATTAAATATTTAATTGTTTATAACAACTCTGATTTTGCGTTTAGTCAAGCAGATGTAGCTCTCTACGAGAGTAAAATCCGTGTGAACAGTGAAAAAGTCCTGAAGAAAGGGTATCAAGTGAGTTTTTCTCATTATCATCCCAAATTAATCACAAATTAATTAATATCATATTCGTAATCCACTGAAACTAATTATTCTCCACCAAAAAATGTTTGTCCACAATTATTCGTGAACAATTAGTTTTCCTAATTGAATAATGACATAACCTCAAGCAGAAACAATTTTTTTCTCCAAAAACAATTGGATAATTGTAAACAAATTATGATTATCCCCCAGGTGGCCATCAACGACGTGATCGACTTTATCGTCGGCCCGAGCCCCAAAAATCCGAAATTCACGATCGTAACCCGAATAACAATTCTGGACGCAAAACTGAATGTCGACACGATAAAATTAAAAATCCTCCGAGAGAAGAACCTTGTGGTGGACGACTACATGGACTCCTACAAGCTGGAGACATCAGACTAAAATAAAATCTACAAAATCATTGATTCGCCTGTAAATATCTGTACAAAATATAATCTCGAATTTTCATTTACATCATTAATTGCTCGTTGAAAAGAAAAAAAAAATGATCACATGCAATTAACAGAAGTCTTCAGTTCTTGGAGAATTCCTGGAGCATCACGAGAGTTGGTCCGATGCCCAGGACGCCCTTCCCAGCGAGTTCCTTGAGCCCTTGGATTGCCCTGTGGAGCTCTCCACCCCTGCAGATCCTCTCCAGAACCTTTTCCCTGAGCTCCTCCCCCAGGAACTGAAGGAGAGCTGCAGCAACGTGAATTCTGCTCTTGAGGCAGCCCTCCACGACGTCCTGGAACTCGATTTTATGAACAACTGGACATGCATGGAGCATCCTGAGGGCATCAACGGCGTCCTGGATAGCCTCGCCATTCCCGAGCCTTGCGAGCCCATCCGAAATAACAAGTTGCCAAGCAGAGATGTATCCAGAGTAATTAACAAGTCGATCGAGTCCAGAGAGAATCATGAGACTCCTCTTGAGCTCCTTGACGAGCCCCATCCTGACCATTCGCCCCAAGGCGGCATCGAGGACATCGAAATCCTCGAGACCAAAGTCCAGAAATATCTGGGGGATGAGTCCCAGGGCCCTGGCCACCCCGAACTGACTGTTCACCAGTACCTGAACGAGTTTTTGCTTGGAGCAGCTCTCGAATCCACTGACGCTGTACCCAATCCCCAGCCTCTGGAGCTCCGTGAGGTACTGGAGGCTCTTCATGTGCTGGTGAAACTGCTCGCGATTGATTTTCGTGTAACTCTGGAGCTCGGCCTCGTCGGTGAGGGACTGGATGACTCTGAGAGATCTGAATCTCACTCCAGCATTGTAATTCTCCTTCTCATCAAAGGCAACGTGCACCAGGTAATGAATGAACTCGGATTTCCCCGAGACGACGTAGCACGCTCTCAGGAGATTGTCATCAGTGGTGAATGTATCGTCGTGATCCTCTCGAAATACCGCTGTGATGCTGTCGTTTTTCGTCTCACAGGACTCAGGTTGAAGCCAATCGGAGAGTAAATTTCCCCGGATCTTGTGGAGATTTAGGGGGAGAACCTCCCCCAGGGCGTCAACAGCTGAATTGATGTCAGGACGATGACGAGTGGCACTTCTGTATCTCTGGGGAATGGAGGGGTCTTTGTAGAGAGAAATTATCAACTCCTCGTGTCGATCCACGAGGTTGAGGTACTCCGGGAGTCCGAGACCATAGGAATGCAAGATGTGCTTCGAGGTATTGATCACGTATTTCTCCTTGATCCTGGGGAATTTGTTGGCAGGATCTGCCTCGTCGCCGCACAACTCCTTCCACTCCTCCATGTACAGGAAACACTCCTTGGCAGCTGCCACGAGGTCTGCACCAGGTGGTGTGTGATTTACAACGTAATACAGAGAAGCTGTTCCATACATGAGTCTATCGACACCTTTCATGCACTCCAGGCACTTCTTGATGTCCTTGAGAAGTCCTGAGTTCCTTGAATTGACTGACCACGTGGTGGAGAGTCCCCTGGAGGTCTCCCAGGCGTCGTTCGTTGAGTTTCTCACTGCCAGGGTGCAGATGTTGGGAGTGGATATCCCTAGGACTGGAGCGATACTCAGCCACAGCTCATAAGTCTTGAGATTGAGCTCAGGCATGACAATTTTGAAATCAACCCTTGGAAAAAATGGAAGTCTCCACTTGGCGATCTCTGGTAGCTGTGGCTCCTGACACCAGTTCAACCAGGCATCTGTCTCCACCTCCGTAGGCTTACCAATTCTCGTGTAATTCTGGAGGAAACACAAATGACTGATCCAGTCAATTTTATCATTCATCTCAGCGATCTCCAGGGCAATCAAGAAGACCTCGTAGTGATACATGTTGAAGGACGGAGTTGTCAGGGCATCCACCAGGTACTTCTTCATGGCTGTCTTGTCCTCGATCTCTGCAGCCACTTTTTTCGACTCCACGATCAATTCTTTTACCTGTTTATCATCGATCTTCAAGGTGGATGGCTGGTGACCCTCATGCCTCCTCAACTCTGGCTCCCACGTGGTGAGGAGAATTTCCAGGTAGCTGAGACAACAGTCAGTGAATATGAATCCAAAGTCCTGGCAAAAATCCCTGAGGACCTCCAGAGTGTCAGGCTTCTTCGAGGTCATTATTCTCTTCAAGATATTTCTTTTGTCCTCGTTACTGCTGGTGATGACTTCCCTGTAGGGGACACCACAGGTGGCGAGCCTCTGAGCCCAGTTGTGGAGGAGTCTCGATGATTTCAATGCCTCTATCTGCACCATGTTATTCGTCAACCTGAAGTACTCGTAGCTGAGCTCCTTTATCACACGATCTCGTCGCTGGTCGTTCTCGTACAGCTGTCCGCAATGCTCCAGGAGCTTCAGGGAGTTGCTCCTGGGGAGGCTGAAGAGACAGACAAGCCCCAGGTGGACGTCGAAGACGATGGCATCGATTACCTTCTTCAGCATCATCGAGTTGCACGTGTTGAGGATCGATTTAACCTCCTGGAGCATCGCCTCGCTCTTGGGTAATAGTGAGGACATCCTCAGGTACATAGAGGTGAGGATCTTTAGGACTGCGAGATCGTGGTGCTCGTTCATAAGACCCCGAGTTCTCACGGCCAAACTCCTCCTGACGACGAGCATCTCCGCGTGAATTGAATTATTACTGGAATTATTCTCGTGATGACAGGACAGAGCGAGGAGATCCTTGAGATAAGGGATGAGAACGTCACCGGAGGATATCGAGGCGTCCCTGTAAATGGGGTAAAGAGACGTCTCCTGGAGCTCTCGGGGGTGGCTGACAGCTTCATTGTACGAGTTTATGTCAATCAGGGAATCTAGGACGTGGGGTAAATCTTCGGTGGGAGAGCACATGGATATTGTTGAGATGAGAGTCTTCAGGGCTCTGGCCAGTATGGGATCGTCCTCTGCTTCCAGCATCACCTGGGAGATCATCCTCAAGGACATCTGGCACTCATCGGGGTTCAGGATGTCCCACGTGCTCACACGATTTATCAAAAACTCCTGGAGAACTTTCACATTTTTCGTTGCTTCGAAGTACTCGTACACCCCTGATAATTTGGGGAGCCCCAGGAGGCTTGAGACTCGGTCGAGCTGTCTCAGGATTTCCTCTCCCGGGTCACCAATCTCAATGAGACCCGAGATGAACTCTAGGAGGATCTGTTTTTTACTGGAGAAATAATCGCGAACGTTGAGAGAAATTTTGAATTGAGTCTTCAAGACATAAATTGCTCTCAGGTGGGGGATCCTCTTCAGGGTGTCATCGTTGCTCTTCGATAGTCTCGACAGGGGCCCCAGGATCTCGACGTAGAATCCCAGGGAGGGATCCTCGAACTCCCCGAAGTTGTTGAGCCTCACCTGGAGATCATTGATGATGTGTTTGCAGCAGAAATCGAAGATCTCATCCTCGAGAGCCTCTAGAATCCTCGTCACCTTGTCCAGGTCACCTGTCCTCAGGTGATAACTAACACAGACTCCCATTATCCTCTTCTGTTTATTCTTCTGATCGTTTTTCGTCAACTCCAGGAGGTCCTCGATCATGCTGTCACGATCCTCACGGATTATTCTGTGGTAGAGGTTCGGGGTGAGGCCGACGTGGGCGAATCCGTACTTCTTCATGATTAATTTAACAGCCACCGAGCTGCTCTCGATTCTTATCTGCCCCACCAGGGGATGATCACACCTGCAGCTCTCCTCAGCAAGTCCAGAGACAGCTGGGGACCAGGGGACTGGCGCCTTCTTGAGTACCTCGAGCACCTGCTGGAGTTTATTCTGAACGTTGTGAATATGTCCAATGACGACTGCCAGTCTTTTGTCCCAGGGTGCTCTCTCCCACATCCACCAGCCCTTGGACATCTTGAGAATTTTTCCAACGTACGACGACAACACCTGATCATTTCTCAGGGAGTTGTTCATCATGTACTGCTGGACGAAATTAATCATCAACGAGGGAATCTCGTCGATGTGAATCTTGTTGAGAAGAAGATGAATTACGTCTGTGGGATCCCCCAGGTAGATCCCCAGGGGTATCATGATTTTATATTTCGTCTTGAGATCCTGGAGATCAGACATCGCCTGCACCAGCCTCTGGAGCATCATCAGATGGGAGTCCTTGGAGGCGTACTGCTGGTGAAATTGAAAGCACACGTTGTACTCCTCGAATTGGAGCATCGAGACGAGTCCCTCGGCGAATTCCAGGCCGATCCTGGGCCACGAGTCTCTGTGGTAGATCTCCAGGGATCTGGTTCTCTTGAGGGACCACTGGAGAATCGATGGGAGGCTTGTGGGTATGAGAGCAGTAGCTGAGGGAATGAAGTGGTGGAGCCATGGCCACAGGGACGATGGCTCCAGAGCTTCGGGAATTGCCTCCAGGAGGTGCTCAATGCTGGAGTTAGTCATCTGGGGAAAGGGTGTGTGACGAATCCAGAGGAGAGCTGCTGAGTCCATCTCGCCCAGCGTCAGGTATCTCCTGCATTCCTCCAGGAGATTTGACCTTGAAAATCGGTTCCAGTCGTCGATGCTGTGGGACGTGTGGATTAACTCGAAGGTTTCCAGTCTTCTCAGGGTCTCTGACACCTGGTGGAGAAGTCTTGAGAGCGATTCCTGGGATTGCTGGCACCCTGAGCTGAGGTATTCCACAATTCTCCTTCTAGAGTACGTCAGGAGTCGTCGTGTCTCCTGGTAATCCCTCGTCAGGGCGTTTTTGCAGCACTCGTAAACAAATTCCACGTCTTTTATTTTATCCAACGTCTCCAGGAAGAAATTCACATCGACGAATTCCTTGGAGTGCACTGACGGCTGGAGTCGCTCCATTAGCATTCTGGCCTCCGCGTGGAACACCATCTCCTCGTCGAGACCAAATTTCCTGGAGAATTCTCTGGCTTCCTCGAATTTTTGTCGTCTCAGGAGCCTCTGGAGTCGAAACTCGGGGGAACTCTCCTCGATTGCTTTGATCCTGATGGTGTCAATCACTCCCCGCTGGTTTCTTGCCCCCTCCAGGAAGATCAAGTGATCCACGATGTGGTTAAGATCCACCAGGTAGCAATCCCTGGGTACCACCATCGAGAACTTCACCTGGAAGTCTGGATAACTCATTAAGTGGAGGGACGTGGTATCCTCGGAGGGCTGGGGAGTCATCAACACCAGGAGGTGGTGGTCTGTCGCCTCGGGGATCACGACGAAGTCCTCGATGGGACCGTTGTGAATTTTTTTCGAGAGGAGAGTCAATCGGCAGACGATGGAAAGGGCTCCATCGCTCCTCAGGGCGATCATTCCTGAGTAGTTCTCGAAGAACTGGAGTTTTTTGTAGCGATAGGGGAGGGACTTCAGGGGGCAGGAGATCTTTCTGGTGTGGAGGAGGACCTCGTCCCCGAGGGTGACCAGGGATTTCTCTCTGGGGGTGAATGAGGCCGAGGAAATTGGAGAGCTCTCTGACAGAATTTTTATTTTTGAGAGGTCGATTTTCTCGCACGGATTTATCGACGGGTGTATGAGGATCTTCCCCGAGGAGGTGACCATTGTCAGGGCCAGGGTGCTTCCTTCCTCCTTCAGGGACAGGTGGATGATTGTGTCGCAGTTGTAGGACTCCAGGTCCAGGCAGAAGAGCTGCTTGGATCCCAGGGAGAGGTTGAAGCAGTGGATAATACCTGGGGCAATCGCTGCGAACAGAAGCTCTGAGGATGAGACAGTATAGCTCGTCACTGGAGAGTCGAACCCGATGCTCGTGAGGATCTCCTGACAAGAGTCGTCGGAGAAAATCGTCAGCGAGTTGTCCACCGAGATGCAGAGGAACGTGTGCTCGAAGGAGGCGTGAACTCTTGGGGGCGCCTGCAAAATTTAATCGAGTGTTGTTTTTTTTTGGCAGAACCACTTGGTTTAGAGAAAAATGCGTTAAAGTTTTTTTGTGTGGAATTTAATTCTGCGGCTATAATCTCTTGTCACTTTTTTTCGTGGGCTCAACGGTTTCCGAGATATCCAGAAAATTGTCACCAGGTTAGTAAAGCAATTCACATCATGTCAAAATTATTGTCGGGGTTTTCGGAGAGTATCTCGAGAATCTGATGATTTTGAAGAAAATGTCAGAAGGATTTTTTGTGCGGGATAAAATATTCTACAAAAAAGTCCTCTGGTGTTTTCGCCTAAGGCCAACGGTTTTAGAGATATTTGCGAAAAACCGCAACAGCAGTAATTATAATAATCTCTTTTGCTTCGATTTTTCCCAGGAATTTCTTACCTGAGGCTCTTCATGACCCTGGAGACCTGGCTGAGGCTCCTCCGGGCTGTCACATTGAATCGTCGCCCTAGTCCAGGTCTCGTAAATAGCTCCATCGTGTTCTGCCACTGTTCGAGCACCAAAATTCACGGTTTCGTCCTCAGCGTCAAATCCGGAGATCACTCTCGTCCAGTGCACCATTTCGCCAATTTGCTGTGGTTTTTCGCACTACTCCACGATCATTTATGTCTTCAGCGGATTTTCCAGCGGGCTAAATCATTTTCTGGACGCGATTGCACAAGGAAAAGTCACAATTTGCTACAAGTACGTTAAAACTTTCAAACAGTCCCAACAGTTCACTACACATGCGTAAAACCTGTGATACGCATGCGTAACATTTGCAATACGCATGCGTAACATTTGGAATACGCATGCGTGACGTTTGGAATACGCATGCGTGAATTTTAGAATACGCATGCGTGAATTTTAGAATACGCATGCGTATTGCAAATGTTACGCATGCGTATTGCAAATATTACGTACACGTATTCCGAAGATTACGCATGCGTATTGCAAGTATCACGCATGCGTATTGCAAATGTTACGCATGCGTATTGCAAATATTACGCATGCGTATTGCAAACATTACGTACACGTATTCCAAATGTTACGCATGCGTATTGCAAATGTTACGCATGCGTATTCTAAGGTTGACGCATGCGTATTCTAAGATCGACGCATGCGTATTCCAAATGTCACGCATGCGTATTGCAAATGTCGCGCATGCGTATTCCAAAGATCACGCATGCGTATTGCAAATGTCGCGCATGCGCCACGACTCAACTACGCAGGCGTCCATCTCCCCTAGCGTCATTCTTCAGTATACCAAGCAACAGTTCGGAGGTTAGCGTTGCGTGTGATATTCCTGTTTGTTGTTTTCATAGTTTTGAATTTATAACCTATCAAAGGTCTCGAAACTGATTGAGTAGCATTCCGACCAACTGAAATCGACGTTATGACGAATGAAACGCCTGCCGTCCAAGAATTCAAACTCGATCCCGACTGCGAGTTGCGGTTCGAGGTCGAGAGCAAGAACGATAAGGTGACACTCGAGGTAAACAAGAAACACTCGCAATAGAACAATTAAATAATCACCCAAATCTCCGAGCCTAAAACCCAAAATAAATTTTTAAAAAAAATCGAATAATTCCACTCCCGATTTTCAACCTTTAATAACTCGAAATCGGCATAGTGAAATTGCACGATTTTTTTTTTCATTCAAAGGTATTTTCGCAGTCTTAAAATGCAACCTGATTTATCTAAATGGCATCGTTGAATAAGGAGATATTAATTTTTTAATTCTAATAGTTAACCTCATTAATAACCTAAATGTTTTCCCTCAGCTGAAATCGGGTCTAGCAGAAGTCTTTGGCACAGAGCTGGTGAAAAACAAGAAATATAACTTCGGCTTCGGTGCTAAAGTGGCGATATTCACGTGGCAAGGATGTACCCTGGAGATAACGGGTAAAACAGACGTGAGTTACATCGCAAAAGAGACGCCAATGGGTATCTACTTGAATTGTCACGCGGCGATGGAGCGAATGCGAGACGCAGCTGAGAAAAAGGACTCGAGGGGTCCAATTACGATGGTAGTGGGTCCCTCAGACGTGGGTAAATCAACTCTGTGTAGAATCCTCTTGAATTACGGTGTGAGAATGGGAAGACGCCCCATATTCGTCGACCTGGACGTTGGTCAGGGTCACATAGCAGTACCTGGTACCCTTGGGGCACTTCTGGTGGAGAGGCCCTCAAACGTTGTCGAGGGATTCTCTCAGCAGGCACCCCTTGTCTTCCACTTTGGTCACAAATCTCCAAGTAGCAATATCGCCCTCTACAATCTCCTGGTGACGAGGCTGGCTGAGGTATGCGCTGACAGACTCCAGGCGAACAAGAAGGCCAAAGCATCGGGTATTGTTATCAATACATGTGGATGGGTCAAGGGCGGTGGCTATAAACTTCTCACACACGCTGCACAAGCATTCGAGGTCGATGCCATTCTTGTTCTGGATCAGGAGAGGCTCTACAACGAACTCGTCAGGGGAATGCCGGAATTCGTCAAGGTTGTGTTTTTACCTAAGAGTGGAGGAGTCGTCGAGAGGAGTCAGACGATGAGGAGTGAGTCACGGGATCAGAGGGTCAGGGAGTACTTCTATGGATCCAAGACTCCACTTTATCCGCACAGCTTTGAGGTGAAGTGGAGTGAAGCTAGGATTTATAAAATTGGAGCTCCTGTTCTACCTGCATCGTGCATGCCTCTTGGAATGAAGGCTGAGGACAATCTCACTAAGCTCGTTGCTGTCACACCTGGACCCAGTCTTCTTCATCATCTACTGTCCGTTTCTTTTGCTGATTCTCCTGAAGATGACGTCGTGCAGACTAACGTCGCTGGATTCGTCTGTGTGTGAGTAGCTTTAATCGCTTTTATCTTTCGTCGGTTGGAGTTTAGAGGAAAGTACTCGGGGACTTTTTTTTCGGGAATTTAATTCTACGAAAAAAATGTCTTATCGGTTTTTTTTGTAAACTCAATGGTTTCGGAGATATTTCGGAAATTGGTATCAAGGTTATGAGACAATTATTTTGGAGTAGTGGAAATTGTTACGGTTTTTGGAAATATCTCGGTGACCTTAGGCTTTAGTGAAAAATGGTAGAGGAATAATTTGTGGGGAATTGAATATTCCATAAAATTTTCCTCTTGCATTTTACTGTGGAAGTGACGGTTCTCAAAATAAATATAAATATTAAACGTTTTTTTCTTTTGCAGGACGAACGTAGATGTCGACAGGCAGACGATCACAGTCCTGAGTCCCCAGCCTCGACCTCTGCCCAACACAGTTCTTCTGCTCTCGGATATTCAGTTTATGGACAGCCACTGACAGGCGTTATTGTACATAATTATTTAATTGTAAATTGAAAATGAAAATCATGAATTTTTGTACGAAGCTAAACCTCTACTGTAATTATAATTATTGAATAAATTGAGACTTAATTCAACATTTTATCGTTTTATTTAAATAGTTATTATTATTACATAAATATTTAGCTATTGGCGAACAATATTGTGCCACCTCCTCCACCATTCTGCGCTCCTGATTCAAAATCTCGATTTTTGCTTGAAATTTTCAAACCCATTCGAAGGTTCTGAAACGCGGGAAATATAGTGCCACCTCTTTTGACATTATGTG